GTTGATTTTCCTCCCAAGATCAGCGCAACAGTCTTGTAAAACAGTTCAATCATTCACCGCAAATGCGGATTGAGCCGTTTCGTAAATACTACAAGGACTGGAGTCTGAAGCAGCAGACATTTCCGAATTTTCCGTAGATATCTTTAAATTGAATCTTTCGACAAAGCTACAACATGACACTTCGAATGAGCGCGCGCTCGGAAAGCCTTTACCACGCGTCAAATATTATTGATATTCCGACTAATGGAGCGCCCCTGGCTTTTGTAAATCGGTCAGAACTCCCCCACAGATCAGTCAAAATCGCGAAAAAATGCTTGTTTCCATGGCAATAAGCGTCTAGACCAATCAAAACACTGGATTTTGACTTTTTGACTGACCGACTTTGCGTATGTCAGCTGCTCATTGACTTGACTAAGCTCGTCGGCTCAGCCACTGTATGAAATTTGATCACTGGACTACAGTTCGATTAGAATGTTTTAAAATTGCTAGCGCTGTATGATAATAGATACTGGACTATTATAAGGTATCGCTGCATGATAAAAAATAACTGGACTATTGGTCGAATATTTAAGACTTTAATTAAGTTTGCAATTTTTATGTTAGTCGCGTGACTGGTTTGACGACCCCTAGATCCGCCCCTGCTAGCAAGCGGGTTACCCTGTGCGCTAGGGTTACCCTATGGGTAGGGTTACCCTATCAAACAGATAGGGTGACCCTAGCAGCAGGGCTATCTTTTTGTTCAGCCATGTAAACGCGTCAGGTAGGGTTACCCTAGCAAGCGGGTCATGTTTTATACGTCCTACTGTGACAGACAAACAAGGATATGGCGTCGCTAGATTATACATATGAACATATCAGCCTGGCGAGTATTTTAAACGACACCAGAAAATAAAAAGGATAAGCAATTTACAAATAAGGAAACAGAGGCATAGAACGAAGCTTTGACTTTCGACGAGAACGCTGCGAATGATGTAGTTTCGACTTTCGATAACAAATTGTCAAAGACGGCGAAAAGGAAACAAAATTCCGGCGCATCCTCATCGACGTCAAAAAAACAAAATAAATGCTCATGGTCAGCCGAACATGTCGAAAAACTGTTGTGTTGGACTATATCAAGGAATACATTACGCTTATTTACGCAATGCGAGTAATAGACCACAACCGATTGAAATAACAGACCACGGTATTGAAATAACCTCGGAAATAACAGACCACAACATTGAAATGCAGCAAGCAAAGGCCCAATAAATAGCATTACACAACTTGCCGCTAAAACTTTGCGTTTCGGCGCCATTTATCTAATACAGACCGCTTAGCGACCACGCATAGGTAGGGTTACCCTATCCGGCAACATAGCCCTAGCAGTAGGGTCACCCTACCTCATGTAAACGCTCGCTATTTTCTGACCCGCTTGCTAGGATAACCCTCCTGATAGGGTCACCCTACCTCCATGTAAACAGGCCCTAATTAGGATCTAAACTTCTGGTAGCAGTACCTTTGGTAGCAGTGTTTTGTAACCTTTGAAGAGGACGCAATAATCGACTAGTTTGGATGAGATAAATGCATGAACACTAAGACTTTCGGTATCCTTTTGTGAAAGATATTTTCTTATTTTGCCAAGTTGATGTATTGATTGTGAAGTTGAACGACATATGCACTTTGAAATAAAACAGAACTATAGTCTATAATATTATATGTTAAAATAATAGTAAATTTTTCAAAATATTTTTCAAAATATTTTAGTTATTGTCAATTTCACGGCTTTCTGATATTCTATTATCAACATTTGTTATTTGGTGAACATTTCATAAATAACTGTGGTGGCTTGCGAGTTGCGGGGTGGTCTAGGCATTTGGTTGGTCATGCATGACGTTGAGTCGTATCAGATTGCATAGTTAGTTACTCAAAGACAAGGACGGTTTAGTTATACAATCTATCCATACCGGTACATATAATGTTTGTTGTATATATTTTGCAAGAAATTGTGGTGAGGGAAGACAACTAGTAAGTATGTAGCCTATAATACATTCACTAATGTACTGCGGTTTATATGTTTATTATAAAATTGCAACCATGATGTTAATGCTTACGATCGCTTATTATATATATTACTGGATAAAGTCAACTACCACCCAAATGAAACAAATCTTCGACTGAGTTAATTTGTGCAGTTCATGGCTATATGTTGACGGAAAGACAAAGTCACATCGAGTATAAAATATAAGTTAATAAGTATAAAATGTCGATGTTCGTGCAGTTACGAGTATTAAACCGGCCCGGATGTGTGACTGCTCACATATACAGTCAATAATTTAAGCTCGTATAGGTTCTTTAACACTCCCCATTTGGCTTAGATAGGAAAATATCTGTATGTCGTGCGCCGTAGACCCCTCGCTTTGTCCACGTTCTGTTCTGGCATGCAATTGAACATTTTCTAAAGCTCCAGAACATATTCTTTAAGTTTTGACTCGTGTACAGCCGGAATTTGCCTGCCAGGAAAATGTAAATAGGTATCTTTTATACACAGTATCTTTTATACAATGTCCCAAAGGCAAAGTGTAAAATATCAATAAAATAAGACGAACTAGCAAACGTTTAGTCAACATACAGTAGCTATCACAACAGCAATAACATGTTCAGTGCTAAAATCTTAGTTTAGCAATTAACTGGTTTGAATGTAGTGATATCAAGTTGTCTGATACGGCATTAACTCATGCGGGTCATGACTGACAATAACAATAATAGCGATTATTTCATGATTGACTCGGTTTTCTTTGATGTACCGCGGGCTGTATATAGCATAATGCCCTTGAATACCATACAGCCCTAATTAGTCAAGAAATAAGCGAGAAAACTAGAAAAATACTTGTCGAAATCGAAAAAAAAGAATAAAACTTTGTTAGAAAACCTCTTCAATCATGAAATAAGTCAGTTAATTACCTCGAATGTCGGGCTTTATGCTATATAAAGCCCTCGAACGCTTCGCGTTCTCGGGGCTGTATATAGCATAAAGCCCTCCTTCTCGGTAATTAACTCTTACTTAGCGGTTGTAAAAAATTTACCTGTTCTGGCCGGTTATTGTGTACATTGTACAGGGATGTTTGATTTACATGCAAGTTGAATCTAAACCAACCTCGCAAGCCAGGGCCTTTACCTCCGCAGTCCGCACGGTGCTTTTAATTAAACCGGCTTCAAGTGTTGTTTCGGCTATTAGTGCATGAGACTGTTTAATCAAGCACTTACAACGAATTGTGATATTTTTTGTGACCATGTTTCAATACTATAGAGAGTGTTTCTGTTTCATCGTTTAGCCATTTGTAATTTTAGATTTAAAGTTTGTTCGTTCACTGCAACCAGGTCGCCTATGTCATAATATCAATCATGTTTCGCTCGCTACTCTGGTTTATCAGATTACAAAGCCCAGTCGAATTGTAATCAAGACCCAACGTTTCGACCCTCCAGTCTAGTTTCTTCATCAGGGGTGATCTAAAGTTGCAATCGTGGCTTCTTTACGGTGGCCGATAAGGGCCACCTCTGCTGCATGGAAACGCGACTGTGCTGCATGGAAACGCGACTGTGCTGCATGGAAGCACGATTGTGCTGCAAGGAAACGCGACTGTGCTGCAAGGAAATGCGACTGTGCTGCATGGAAACACGACTGTGCTGCATGAAAACACGATTGTGCTGCATGGAAACACGATTGTGCTGCATGGAAACACGACTGTGCTGCATGAAAACACGATTGTGCTGCATGGAAACACGACTGTGCTGCAAGGAAATGCGATTGTGCTGCATGGAAACACGTCTGTGCTGCATGGAAACACGACTGTGCTGCAAGGAAATGCGATTGTGCTGCACAGAAATGCACCTAGGCCTGTGCTGCATGGAAATTGACGATCAACCTCGTGCACGAGTTGGGACCTTTAAACACGGGGACCCCTGGGTACGAAGTTGATTGACGATGTCAGTACAAACACAGGTGGCCCAATATCGCAAGCGTCAGTATAGTAATGTGTATTATAGCAAAATTATGTCATAAATATAAATTTTAAAATGAAATTGACTTGCCTATTTGATAGTGTGTGTTCTCCTTTTATTTCTCTTTTGTTAGACTAATATTTTTCGAGACTTTGCACTCGATGGACGATGGTACTAATATACATACTATATGATAAAGGCAAACTACTTACAATCCATCGTCGGCTTATGCAATATTTTAATTTTGGGATAGGTAATAGGACCTCTACATGCGTCTTGGACCTGTGGTGTACTTAAAATCATTATTTATCTAATGGATTACTGTTATTTTCAACGGGGTCTTGAAAGTAGACCATGCCGTGAAACATTGTATAAAAGGTGCACGCGTTGTTTTGTGTCTCTTTTTGTTATTCCATTGTAGAAATATCGTGATTGAAGTTAGCATGTGCTGTATGTAAAGTTATTACTTGGTAATTGATAGGTGTAATTTGACGATGCACATGAATTTATCGATATCACAGGGTCGGATTTGACCATACTGCGATGTTGTAAATTAGGAATTGGTAACAAGACTTGTGATTTTGCGCTGTGTAATTTTCCTGTATCTCATTTGAGTAAATGGTTTTCTTAAAAATATCTTCACAGGGTCTGGAAAGTAGACCATGCAGTGAGATATTGTAAGCTTAATCCTTGTTGTTAACTGTGTATTCCATAATCTGTCCGTCACATGTGGTTAAGTCTATGTGAGGATTGTAGGTTTATCCCTTAGTATTGAAGTATGGATGCAGTTAGATTATGTACATACTCACAGGGTCTTGAAAGCAAACCATGGCGTGAGATATGCATGTCATGAGTCCTATGGTTTGTGTCATGTATGTAACTATTGATAGGTAGAATAAGTAGTTGTTGTACAATCTACAAAAATGCGGTTTATAGAATCTGGCAGAACATTTAATTATGCCACAAGGGTAAACTTTATTTAAAATTGGTGTCTTAGACTAATCATCCCAGATGTTTTGTAAAATGGCGCCCAGATAATTACGATAATTATTAATTACGATATTTCTACAATGGATTCACATATAAGGATATGCAACGCACTGTTATACACGTGCACCTCTTATACGGGGTCTCACGGCATGGTCTACTTTCAAGGCCCCGTTGAAAATATAAGAAATCCATTGGGTATATGTGTGTATATGTATGTATATGTGTATATGTGTATATGTGTATGTATGTATATGTGTGTATATGTGTACATATACACACATATAGAGGTCTTATTACCTATTCCAAAATTAAAATATTGCAAGCCCTATTACCAATTCCAAATTTGCAATATCGCAGTATGGTCAAATCCGGCCCTGTGATAAATTCATGTGCATCATCAAATCACACCTATCAATTATTATTATTATTAAATTATTACCAAGTAATAACTTTACATACAATACACGCTAACTTCAATTACGATATTTCTACAATGGATTTACATAAAAATACACAAAACAACGCACGCATTACACGCGTGCACCTTTTACACAATATTTCACGGGATGGTCTATTTGAAGACCCCGTTGAAAATATAAGAAATCCATTGGATGAATAATGATTATAAAATATAAGTAAACCACAGGTCCGAGACGCATGTAGAGGTCCTATCACCTATCCCAAAATTCAAATATTGCGAATTTTTTTGGAGAATAAAGCGATTTGAGTGGGAGAATTTTAGATTCGAAGTGCCGTGCAGATGGATCGATGATTGTAAGTAGTTTGCCTAAAGTATCATATAGTATGTATATTAGTGTCATCGTCCATCGAGTGCAAAGTCTCGAAAAATATTAGTCTAACAAAAGAGAAATAAAAGAAGAACACACACTATCAAATAGGCAAGTCAATTTCATTTTAAAATTTATATTTTATCACATAATTTTACTATAATACACATTACTATACTGACGCTTGCGATATTGGGCCACCCGTGTTTGTACTGACATCGTCAATCAACTTCGTACCCAGGGGTCCCCGTGTTTAAAGGTCCCAACTCGTGCACCAGAACCTTTAAACACGGGGACCCTTGGTACGAGGTTGATCGTCAATTTCCATGCAGCACAGGTGCATTTCTGTGCAGCACAATCGCATTTCCTGCAGCACAGTCGTGTTTCCATGCAGCACAGTCGTGTTTCCATGCAGCACAGTCGTGTTTCCATGCAGCACAGTCGTGTTTCCATGCAGCACAGTCTGCAGCACAGTCGTGTTTCCATGCAGCACAATCGTGTTTCCATGCAGCACAATCGTGTTTTCATGCAGCACAGTCGTGTTTCCATGCAGCACAGTCGCATTTCCTTGCAGCACAGTCGCGTTTCCTTGCAGCACAATCGTGTTTTCATGCAGCACAGTCGCATTTCCTTGCAGCACAGTCGCGTTTCCATGCAGCAGAGGTGGCCCTTATCGGCCACCGTACTTCTTAAATACCCAAGGAATGATGTCACCTGTCCATGAGATGCATGTATATTCCTCTGGAAAATATATAGGCACCGTCATCCCTATTCAATTAACACGCTTCTAGGCATATAGTCTTTGACCATAGCAATTCTTTCTGGTAAATTACTTTAGAGTTTTCCCACGCAATCTCGTGTTTGGTGTCACACACATTATTATTATTATTATTATTATTATTATACAATTTATTTAAGCACGGTAAAATCTACTGTAGTTACAAGAAAGACAATAAACTAATACTAATACTGGTTTACAAGATTGCCGTGTGGGGGCTCGTTTATTCGTCGAAATACTTATTAACAGCTTTTTTAAATTTAGCCAGCTGTGTTTGAAGCTTTCTTATTTCTTGAGGAAGGCTATTCCACAATAGTGCACCACCATAACAAAAGCTTCGTTTTAAGTAATTTGTTCGTGGCTTAGGCAAATTCAGTCTCATTTCAGAATTTCTTAGGTTATACCCAGTTCCGCGAATGGAAAAGAATTCTTGTAAATAACTGGGAACATTACTCTTGAGTGTTTTAAACATAAGACCAAGTTTAAGTTTTTGTCGTCTTAATGACAAGTTATCCCACAGGTTATCCCAACGAAAACTATCTAATAATACACTTGCGTCGGTATCATAACTTGATCTCATGATGACTCTCGCTGTTCGGTTTTGCAATTTTTGTAATTTAGTACTGATCCCATCCATACCGTGCAGCAATAGTCGAAATGAGGCTGAATGACATGAATATATGAATATGAATATATGAATATGAGCCCCCCCCCCCCACCAATTTTCGATCTTCTTACGGCCCTGTTTTCCCTTGTCTAAAGTTGAAACAGCCTTTTGATGTTCTTTTAGTCGTGTACCAAACTGGCATTTAGACTGACCCAAATACTCTTTCTCGCAGTCACCGCATGGTATAGAATATACAGCATGAGTTTTCTGATTTGTTTTAATTTGGCTTTGCGAAAATATGGCCTAAAGTCAAATGGGGTTTTTAGACAACCTTAACATTACAAGTACTTAAGATTCTCTTGATTGGTTCTGTGACACCTCGAATGTATGGAATTATTGCATAACCCTTAGTAGAGGTATCACCCTCTTAGTTATTTTGGTTCCTACAAACAGGTGATCTCAGACAATCATTAAGAAACCGTTTTGGGTAATCGTTTTCCCCTAAAACATTTAGAACATATTCACGTTCATTGGCTTGAGAATCACTGTTTGACGGCAAGGATTCAGCTCTTTGAAGCAAAGTTTTTGCTACGGATCTTTTATGGTTTACTGGGTGATGAGAGTCGTATGACAAATATTTGTCTCTGTGTGTGGGTTTGCGATAAACATCAGTCTCTAACTTCCCTTCGACAGTTCTGTGCACATTCAACTGTTGATAATAACAGCCCTCAAACACAATGTATGTAGTATTGAGACAAAAAGACAGAAGATCAATTTATAATATCTTCTGCAGGCAAGGATGTTCTTTGTAACAAAGTGGCATCCTTTCTTACTAGTAGCGTACGGCGTTATGGCGTACTAGTGTGTTTTATTGTCGCTTTTGTCTTCAAGAGTTCGGATCATGATCACGTCTTCATTGTCGTTGACGTTGGCGTTGTATTTGCCAAGCTCGATATTAACTGTACTGAAAAGACAGATTCCATATTTGTTTACGTTTTATATATAGCCAATTCAGAAAAGGTTAAATCCAATGAGCTATTATAATATTACTGGAGGAAGTGCTCGACATAAAAAGTGTCCGCAAAAACATGTCGGATTTTCGCGCCATATGACGCCATTTCCATGACAACTGGTTCCTCCGACTCATGGAATTACCGCTGAACAGGCTCAATTCTGAGCCCGCTACAATTTTCACCCCCCCTCCCCCCACTGGTTTTATCAAAAATATTTTTGCTTTTCGGAATTTTTGCAGTAAAGTCTCGTTTTTAGTGTGAAGTTTCTTCGAAACTTCACAGTATTGTGATGACTGGGAGGAAATTCAAACTTATCAGTCAGTCAGTCAGTCATTCAGTCAGTCAGCCAGTCATTCAGTCAGTCAGTCAGTCATACAGTAAACTTTCCGGGGGGTGTATACGATTTATGTTCGTAGTGATTTATTGTGCTTTGTCAGTACTTTGAAGGTTATTTAAGCAATTTCAGTTAACTTATTTACATATTCTGTTATCCTTTTGCCAAGTTCACAAAAATTTCGAGGAATCGCTTTTGTTATTGTATTTTTTTGTAAATTTTAGAACATTCGCTTCTCATGTTGTGTAAAGGATCTTTACCCCGGAACACCCGATTTTTTTTAGTAGCGCAAATGCGCATGCGCTATCAAGCCGTAGATCACGATGGCGTGACGATATGCTAGGAAGGAGTGACAGTGTTGTTTTCAGATGTATAAACATTTCAGACGTGAATATTGAGTAAATTTTTGAAAATCTACGCAATATATAAATTGATCTTATGCATTACGGGCGTTGAATTAAGTGTCGATAATATTTAGACGGTATATTCATTATACAGAGCTAGGAAGGAGCTAGACCGCCTAGACAGTGCAGTCAACACTCAAGTGTATAAACATTTCAGACGTATTAAATATTGAGTCGAAAATCTTTGAGATTCTAGGCATTCAATTGAGTGCTGATATTATTTTCACGGTATACTCATTATACGGAGGTACAGTACGTACGAAGAAGCGAGACAGTGTTGTTTTCAAGTATATAAACATTTCAGACATGAATATTGAGAAAATCTTTGAGATTCTACGCAATAATATAATATATAAATTGATGTTATAATTACCGGCATTCAATTAAGTGCCAATCGATATTATTTAGACTGTGTATTCATTATACATTGTCATTGACTGTATAAGGTGCTACATCACAGAACTCAGTACAAAGAGCGAAAAATTTCATCAGATCTGCATCAGATCAATAAAGCGTAAACAACTATTAAACAGAAGCGGGTGTTTGTACAGGCGTTTACGAAGAAAATATTGCGAGACGAAAGAAATCAGTTGAGTCAGAGCTCCTTATTTAAATAAGAAAGACGAGGAGATAGCCAATGTGTTATCGCCAACGTGTTATCGCCAATCGCTTGGCTCGCCAACAAGATTTATGCAATGGAAGAAAAAAGCAAGGAGGTACATGTAGCCAACATGTACTGTCACGGACCTTGTTTACTGTCTAGCACAACGCCGTTGTCAACGGTGCAAACTTCGTGTTCAGTGCAACGATAACTCTACCAGATCTTACGAGAATCAATCTGTAGTATTCTGTACACAGAACTGTATCAAAGCTTGTCAAAACTGCTTTAAACACTGCTTAACTGTGAAACTATTGAAATTTAAAGTGACATTATTCAACACATGCGAAAAGCTGAAAATAGACGTTACACCGGGAAAAGTCAAAGGTCAATGAGACTTGTTATTGTAAAACATGTCACAATTAGGTTAAAATGCGGAAGCGGATGGAGCGGATCCACGGAACGGATATGCGGATAAAATATGGAACGGATGAAGATAAAGTGCTTCCTTTCAATGATATAACGACGTAGTGCTTATTATTCATAACATATTGTATACAGCTATTTCAATTATAGTTTTAGATAAGTTTAGCATAGCAGTAGCCTCGTGGGGATGCTTTTAGCGACAGCTGCAAATACAAATGCAAATGAAAATTTAGAATATGCAAAATTTGGTTTTTGGTGAAACAATTGAATTTTAGCATGCGTGCAGCATCACAATAAATAGATAAATTGTGTCAGTTTCACAAGGCACGTTTCTGATGTGTCGGGCTTGTTTCAAACGTCGTGCGCCGAGCGCATGAGATGAAATGCCTTTGGTAATTGTTTATTTCGTAGTGTAAGCAATCAGCTTTTCTAGGTTGTCGGCGAACCTATATAGTTCTTGCAGTGTCTTTTTCAATTTGAAACTTCACACTATCCTTGGATCCCTAGTTACTTTAAAGTGCCTATATCAGGGTTTTGGAGTTTGCATATCTCGAAAGTTTAGGGTATTTTAAGACACTTTGCAATATATTTTGTTATTGAAAAATTTCATCTTGATGGATTTATTAGCTCTTAAAGTTACCGGACATGACGTCAAAAGGAGAATTGCAAATCAGTTTTCCTTTGTTTCATTGCAACAAAATTCTCCTTTTGACGTCATGTCCGGTAACTTTAAGAGCTAATAAATCCATCAAGATGAAATTTTTCAATAACAAAATATATTGCAAAGTGTCTTAAAATACCCTAAACTTTCGAGATATGCAAACTCCAAAACCCTGATATAGGCACTTTAATTTTTTCGACTTTTCACCATTTATTCAAAGATTTAAAAAGTCGTACACGCTATTCTCACCCGCGAAAGACAACAAACCGATATGAAAACCCCGAGAAATTTAGGCAAAGGCTATATTTGATGGCGGAGCTCACAGGTAAATATTTCACATACTATTAATATGCTTTTATTTTAATTTTTAAAAGATAGAGGGGCTAAATGATAGAATATAATCCATTTAATAGATAACAGACTTTTTGTATTGTATAACGTATTATTTTCCTCCGAGTAGTTAAAGTTTTATCGTAGAAAATACATAAACTTTGTTTAATTCACTCATAGACAGCCGAAAAATGCGTGGTGAACATTTTTTATTTTTACCCTCCCGCGTGGCGCTCGGGCGTGCATCGTTTCTACTTCGTTTATATTAATTTATGATATAAATCACTCTCAAAATCGGCCCAACAAATCGCAGCGTGTAAACGTACCTTTATATTAATTTATGAAGTAAACTGGAACGATAACTCCTATGATAAAGGCCTATGTTTGGGTGAAGCCAAATTTCGGGCGCTCAAGTACAGCCTGTTCGCAGGTATATGTATACGAAAATAAATACACAAAAAATTTTAACGATATATTTTTACTAATTTAATCCTTAATTTTAACTTATTAAAGTAATAAAGTACGTTTCTGGATGTTTGAACTCCATTAACAACCGTATCTAAGACTTTTCTACATAAATTGTATAATTTTGTTCCTGAAGTCTTTCTGGAAAGTTTAAAAACTCAGAAAAACCATAAATTTTCGCGCGGTTTTTTGCCGAGTTTCGTTTTGTTTGTTTCATATTTTGTTTCATATTTTTGCTTATTTTATGTGCCTTAGATAAAAGTTGTGTTGTCTAAGTTTTCTCTAGGATAAATATAAATGTCTTGAAAAAAGTGGAAATGAGATAATATTAACGATTTTTAAGCTGTATTTTTCGCATCCATTTTGTAAAAAAGGACTGAGGCTACCTGCAGAAAACACTCATAACCGGCTTCAAAGATGACGGCGAACTTAATATAATAATAAACGAAGTGAGACTCAATGCACGCTCGAGCGCCACGCGCGAAGGTAAAAATGTTCACCACGCAATTTTGGGCTGCCTATGATTCACTAAGTTAAATCAGTTTCTTACCTCGAATCAATAGACTGAAATCTGACATGCTTGATTTTATGCAATTGTATATATGGTGCTGAATAAGTGTATATTCAGGTTTAAAGGCATGAAACAATGCGCTTCTATCTATATTATTTTGTATTTATATATACTAGAGTCTGTGTTTATTATAGTATGCATAATCTAGAGGTGCCAGTAGAACGCAGTCTAGGGGTGCCAGAAGCTCAAGATACTGTGGGCAGCTTATCTGCATGGTAATACGATTTCTACCTAGATTTCTGGCTATATAATGACATGTTGGATTGAGGATTATTGAACCACCAGAAATAGGATTGTACTTCTTGAATGTTGGGTACCAGTCACCAGTGTATAAGCAAAGTATGTAGATTATAGTCTTTATAGGGTTGCACTGGATCTCATTATACAGGCCAGAACTGTGAAAGTCACGCATCCTAGTCAGACATCAAGTCAGAAACAATTTAATTGGTAGATAATGTCACTTCTACAGTAGTCTCAGGTGGATTTATTTGGGATTTTGTTCATTTCAGTCCTCTCTCTCTGTGCATCCCTGTATGATGCAACTACCTGAAACTAAGAAATCAATGAACTTCAATATTTCAAGTGGAATTAAAACCTATGCTATAGTATTATTTTTCAGGTATAGTTGTATGATACATTGAAGCCTTCAAATAGTGTGGTGGCTTAATTAAGTTGCTTTTCTTCTCATTTCATTTCTTCACTTCTTATTCTTTTGTCTCTAGTGAAAACTTTAGTTTACAACATTTTAATAATTATATAATCTCTTTTTCCTCTTTGCAGAATTATTTGATGGTGGGACAATTCATATAGTTACATATATTTTTTGGTTCAACCTCTTTATTTTTCAAGAATAACAATATAATTATAAATTATTAGAAATTATTAATTTTGTGAGCAGTGAGCTACATAAACTATCCAGACAAGTTATTATTATGACTTTGTAGCCAGATGGGTATGATTTTACTTTGGCTGTTCAGCATTTTGATCCATTTTGATATGTCTTGTTGTACCTGTGAATGATTTTACCTGCAAAATGAATGACAGAATATCAGATTCGAATGTAACATTACATTAAGATACATCCTTACACTGCAATAATATAATTATGTAATAGATGTTCAGTGTGAAGAATATGGTCTTTGACACTTTGTATATATTAAACATGTTATTGTGCAATGGAAATGATCGAATAAAGCTATTTCTGCAACAGCCCTTGCATTCAAACACCTTATTTGTATTTTATAATTACTTGTTCATGCTTGAGCATCAGCCTCAGAATAAGCAAATTCCATTGGATTTGTGAGGGCACTTGAACTATATTGGGTCATTACGGAAAAGTTTCAGACTCCCACAGATGCTACAAAGTTACAGCTGTGACAGTGTATAGAGGGGATCAACTAGTAAAATGTGCTAGAATATCTAAAGGGGGGAGGGTGATACAAATAATAAAAATGATGTTTAATATAGACTTAAAATTATTAAGCAATTGAGTGCACCAGCACTTTCCCCTTGACAAGTAAAATTATCTGTCATTGGACTGAGTAAGATAACAAAGTAGGGCACAGTGCCCCTTAATTAATAACTTAATTCAAGGTTTAAATGTTGAATTTTTTGAAAGTGCCAGAGTGGTAACTGGCAGGGTACTAAAAAGGTAGCCGGGTTGTGCACATGCATCTTAAATAAATACTGCTACAAAAACCTGGTAGTTAGCAGTTAAAAGTTAAAACCAATCACCAATTTCATTAGTTCAAAGTAATATAAAACAAAACAAGTCGGGAAAAGGATTTCGAACCCAAGATGAGACAAAATTAATATGAGAATGAGTTTGAATATAAAGAATAAAAAAGAGGATAAATTACAAAACTACTGTGATATTGTTGAAACTAGCAATATTATACATTATTTTGCTGTCTATAACGGTAGTTTTTGACATAATGTATTTATGCTTTGTCATGGAAATGGCAACTTAAATTTGCCAAGCAGCCCAAGCTTTGCATAGCTATAGAAGTTAAAATAAGTAAAAGAAAAAAAACTTTCGTGAATCTTACCTGAAAACAAGAAATATAATAATCCTTTCGAGTGAATTGTTTCATCTACTAGCAGAGCAAAAACTGAAAACTAACGCACTTTTTCCTCGACTGCAAAAATATCAAAAATTTTAGTCAAAACTCGAAAATTATGATCAAAATTTGTGCAAAAACCAGGGGGGTGAAGGACTTTTTTCAAGCCTGGGATCGCGGTTGGCCAGTGGTAATTGCAATGAGCCGGAGGAACCAATTGGCGTCAGCAAACATGAAAATCCGCATGTTTTCCCGGACATTCGTTTGGTTAAATCTTAAACTCTAAGCGCGCAAAGCTTAATGGGAGCACATGTTTCAAGCTTATAAGTAGCTGAATATTGCAGGTAATTGTGAATAAATTGTTCTCATAAGGAGATATTTACCATGTCTTTAAGAAATGGTCCCTGCATACATGATTTCTAAACTGATTGAATGATGCGCCCATCATGTTTTGCACGCTTAGAGTTTAAGGTTTGGAAAAGCATCCTTTTTTGAATTATCTGTATATACAGGGTGTCTCCAGAAAAATCCAACTAGAATTTGACTGATGCCTCAGCATTCTGCTGAACCAACAAATGCATAAAAGTTTGACGTACTGTAAGTAAATTTTATGCATAAAGAAACTGTTTAAGAAGCTGCTTTAAATTCCCAAGAGCGGAAAATCGTGCACTTTACAAAGGTATTTTAATTTCCTAATAAGTCAATATTTAATATATGCACCCCGTCAATATTTTACGCGTCTTTGCGTTCAGTTTAATGCTAGGGCATTCGAATGCTGACAATACGTTATTCAATAGTTTTGGGTTTGTTTGGGACACCCTGTATAGGTGGTATCCAACTATTCTCAGGGGACTAAAAACTCAAAGAGAATTTGGCCATGTTTGATGAAATTAGATTATTGCAAACAAGGAATATCGTATGTAAAATTCATCGAACTTGACGTTGATTACATGACTTGCACATCAAGAATTACGTAGGTTCGTGCAGTAAAAAATATGCTTCGGTTTCGACCAGTTAATACAGCTTTATATGAATAATAATATTCATATACAGTACTGTAACCCTACAGTAGCTATTTCATTTTTAGTATATGCATTAACAAAATTTTCCCTTTTTCAGGTTAATTATATTCCACGCACTCATGCCATACACGAGTAATATCAAATTCACAATAGTTCATAGGATGGCAAATTACAAGGAAATTTCCCTCGAAGAATCGCATAAACTATTGCCAATTTTCGAAGTATCTCCTGAGGATAAAATCTCCGAAATTCCTGATGAAAGAGAGCGGCCACATTTACTATCGTAAGTTTATGTTTTTGTTGTAAAAATGCATGTCTTTATAAGCTTTTCGTGAAGGACTATATATATATATATATATATATATATATATATATATATATATATATATATATATATATATATATATATATATATATATATATATATATATATGCAGTTTGAGCGCTCTGGCATGGTTTTGATGTCCCACAATCGTGAGGCATCAAAGGTAACTGTAAATATACAATTACTGTATGGTTTCCGTGTTTGGATGGCCTGATCCAAACACGCGGGAATGTTGCGAGAGTTAAGAAAAGCGCGCGAAAACACGAGCCGAAGGCGAGTGATTTTGCGCGCTTTTCTTAACTCGAGCAACATTCCCAAGTGTTTGGATCAGGCCATCCTAACAGGGAAACCATAAAGTAATTGTTTTATAAAATAACAACAACACGATAGTCTTCCGTGTTTGGATGGCCTGATCCAAACACGGGTTTCGACCAATCAGAACACGCGTTATATACATGTTATTTTATAATAGCAGTTACTTTCATCCTGCTCATCAGCACTACACTGATGAGGCCCATAAGTCCGAAACGGTACCGTCTGTAGTTATATAATATATATATATATATATATATATACGAAACGCAAAGAGTGGTCAATTAGTCAATACCATCAAGTCAGAGCAAATATAGAATTTCGCTTACCTCAAAATTCCGCAACAGTCTGTTTCATCTGTAAAGAATCATCAGGCGGTGATATATATATATATATATATATATATACAGAGGAGGTTGGACAGCAGGCCGCAAAGCATAATGGGTATCGAGCGCCTAATTCCACGGCGTGGCTTTATTGACTGTTGACTATCGAGGAGTGAACATCTCACTGACTAAACAAATATGGAAGATTTCGAACGACCATTGTGTCAGAACAGCATATTGCTGTAGACCTGTAGTGTTGCGATCCTCATTATGACTTGTGTTTTGCTATACCAAGTTTACCTTTTTTAAAATTGCATGGGACGTGCTGTCATTTTAGTTTAGTTCGTAACTAATCCGTCTGAGCGAAGGAATTGTGTTTATATAAATATTCCCAAATCCCAATAGCAAGGCTCTTCTTTCTAAGTTGGATGGCGTTAAATCTCCGTGTATCATCAACGTGAAAACAAGCGCAGTATTTAAGGTTGGTATACTACAATGCATTACAGTTATCTTGTTATTTTATAGTCAAATTTCCGCTTTGTTGTTTTTATTCTTGTACTGTACTGTACTTTCAGAAATACACTGCACAAATTTATAGCGTAATATTTGTGTTTATTGCCTCTAGTTTGACCCTATTGTGTGTGTCTATGTACTCTGTCACTGTGATAGTTATGTACATGTTTTGAGTTAAACAAATTGTTTAATAAATTTTTGCTGAAGTAGTATACAGTAGTTATATATTTTTCAATTTTCATCTGTAAGTAATATTGCCATATTTGTGTGTTGTTCTAATATTACTGTAAATAGTGATACACTTTTGCATTAGATTGCTAATTTTAGAGATTACAGTGTATGTATAAAATAAAAATTTTCTTGTTATGATTTTGTAGAAAGAGATCTACTTGAGTGGTTGGCTGGTCTTGAACCTGGTCAGAATGGATATGGTAATGAAGGTGATACGGCAGAAAGTGGTGACCAGTTAAGTGATGAGGATGAAAGTGACGAGAACGAAATCACCCATGCTGTGCCATTCAAGTGCACCAGTGCTGCTCAAGAGAAAAAATACCCACATCATTTGGAACAGGCAATATACTTGCTCTTCATGGACAAGATAAACCAGTGAATGTAAGAATATGGCCAGAGCAATTGAATCCAATGGACCCAAGTGCAATTGATCTGGACTTGATATGGAACTGCATGGACACATGTTGGTTATTTAATATTGCTTCTGAACTATGCGAGTATTTGCACCCACTAATTGCCGAAGGAGATATCTTAGAGGCCTATGTTCAGCATATCAAGAATAGGGTTGACTCAAATTTTAAAATAGGATTTTATCCAAAAATTTCACAAAGTAATGTGGTGAGTGGGAGACTCAAGTGGTAAAGAAGAGTATGAGTGTATGTTGACAGATGTTTGTGATATAATAGCAACTGACTAGGTTTAGCAAGTTATAGAAATGCTGTTATTTCCATTGGCTAACTTTTTAGATTTTTTGTCAGCATTTTTAAACAAAAACTAGGTTAATCACAAGTGGGTGCAATTAAAACAATGTCTGTCATTAAAACAATGTCTGTCAATTAAGTACATAATTGTAACATGTGCTGTACACTAAATGAATAAATAAATAGTTTATACATTCACTTGACCAACTTTGTGAGTAATTTTTCATTAAAATTAATGCAACAATAAAACAAAAATATGTCTATTTATATACATATTGATCAAAGGTCCCACAATAACATGTTGCTGATACTTTGTGGTACATTATATGAGAATACAAAAAAAACCTGCATATAATGCACCTATCAATGTTAAGTCCCAGATGTGGGGTATTTAATCATTAATTGCATCCCTACCCTAGGGATTTTGATTAGGATTTTGGGCCCGAGTTAGGGCAATTTGAACCAAAATGACTTTTATTAATATAGTATTTAGTGCAGTTTATTGCAAAATGTTGGGGTATTTGGCCAATATTTATTGCCCAACAGTGGGACATTTGATTGAAAATTTGCTCAAAAAATCAAATGCCCAACATGTCCGACGCCCCTCTGTGGAGCTTAACATTGATAGGTGCATAAGAACAACCATTTCTCAAACTTTATCTGAATTAGTTGTGTAACAGCATTTATACAAAATACTGTTAAATAAGGCCAAGTGGGCCTTCACTGCTATAAAGGGCTTCCTATCCAATGGCATTCTAGGACCAATTAACATCTCCATGGCGTTGTTCTCCAAAGCATCGAGCAGCTATATAAATCGGATTGTCTTTTTGACCAGCATGAAGTACAGACATAGCCTTGGCAACAAGTGGGAGAAAATTTTAAGGGACATTTGAATTTAGCATCTAAACCAGGATTAAGTTTTACCAGCCATTTTTGAAACAGGTGGATGAGTAGTTGTTCTTGTTGTCGCTGGGTTAGTTTTGAAAATCCAGAAGTCATCATATCAATAACATTTACCAGAGAGGTGAACAAGTTTAGAACTCCAAATTTAATGATGATACTTGATTCTTGCAGACCAAATCATTGACAAAAATAGAATCCACTAGCCAAAATCACAAATCTCAAATCTAAAACAGCCAAACAATAAATTTCAGCAATAAAATATTGTTACAGAAGTGCTTTAATTACTTACATACTTTAAACAATACATATAAATCCGTAATATATCGAGACTTCTGTAGTATATCAAATTTCTTTAGAAAAAAGCTAGTAATAGCAGTTCATAATTGATCTGAGTGACAAGGCAGCATATTTCACAAAGGGCTATATTCAACGGTGAATATCTCGAAAACGGTTGAGAGGCCGAGGGGGGCCGGCTGGATAGAATTAAAGATTATACTTTTATCTAACTAATCGTGAAAAAAATAGCGAAATCGAACCATGGAGATTTGAGATTTTTGTCTTCAAAGATTGTTGACAGAAACGCCATTAAATTACATCGCGACGGCATAGCGCCTAAGTGAGAGGTCAAAATAAACTGGAAAATGACGCTTACCTTTTAAGATACCGTTCCAATGGGTAGATTGACTGTTGTAAAAGTAGTATCGCGTGAAATTTTCCAAAAAAATTGCGTAACAGTATGAAAAAAATCGATATTTATGAGCCCTATGTAAATTTTCGATGCTAAAAGCTTCGTGCGAGCATGAAGAAAATGGCGCAATCTGATTGGTCGAGATGTTCGCCTAATTGGCTGTCCAACCTCCTCTGATATATATATAACGAAACGCAAAGAGTGGTCAATTATATATATATATATATATAAGATCGAGTGGTCAATTATATATATATCTATCGAAAAATGTTAAAATTGCAACCAGTGGAAGACATCTTTTGGAAGCTAAAAGTAAAGCTTGGACGGTTGAAACTGGTTAAAAATTTATTTTAAAAATATTAAAATATCGGAAGACGTTTCGGTCAAACAACTAAGACCTTCGTCGGTTCTACTAAAACGATGAAACTACGTCTATATTATATTAGTCTCCTACGCATACCTACTTAGCGGGCTAAGCCCTCACGTAAGGTATGCTTACTTTGGCCAAGAATTCCTTTCCTCAAAATTAGCCAATCACAGCTTTACCCACGAAAATTGTGGGGCTTGACCTTTGGCTTTGACCTTGAGGCTTGGGTTGTTAAACGTTTCAAAACATTTATTAAATCTTGAACATTTTATATATTCATTTGTACGAATTCATATCTTAAACCGATTATATATGCGAGACCTGAGAGATATATTTGTTATACCAATATACCAGTCTACAAATGTACAATATGAAACAATTGTAAAATCTGTTAGAATTTGTCGAGCTATTGTTTTGAACAGACAGTGACAGTGTAGAAAAATCGAACAATATCACCTAAAATATTTTGCGATGTTTTGATTACTTTACAAGCGTTTGCAGGTGTTACTGTAACACGGGTAATATACTGGAAAAAGACGTCAAGATAAAGTTTTAAAGTTACAGTGTACATTACTGCGGGTGTAGATAATAGATTTATAAATACTAATTGAAGACTACAGAATTCAGCCTATATAAAATACTGAATTGATTCATTGCATATTTCGGTTTCTAAGTTTGTATATGACTAGCCAGTTTATAAAGTTTAATAAAATCGTAATTACAAAAGTCGCTCTGATATTGAACGCTCGGAAACTTAGTACTATTTACAACATGAGCGGCCGTGTTGTATCGGATATACAAACTCGAGCCGAAAACGACTCATCTTATGAGTTCATTGGCGAAGTAATTTTGAAAATAAACGTTGTCTAAGCCGAGAAAATCAAAGTTAAAGTTTATGTAAATCAACATGAATCTATATCACATATACAGACTCCTTCACGCCCATGATTTCTTTTGTGTTTTCTTCATGAATTATTAAATATATTGTTAATAGTATATATTGAATATAATACATGCCGTCACACAGTCGCGTCAAGTTTAAAACAAGTGTTACCAGCAGGGCCGTTGCGAAGGGATATGGATTGGGGGGGGTGTCGAAGGTCAAATTGCCGAGTGACGCCAGTTGAATTTGCCGAGTTTTTCAAAAGTTTGTATAGGTAATGAGAAGAAAAGTTTGTATAGGTAATGAGAATCATATTGGTGTGCTAGTAACTGAGGGACACCAATATGGCTCTTGTTTTGAAATATGGATGCTTGTTCGTGGGTTGTTGCTAAAAAGGAATCGGGTTGCTTTATATATAAAATACGACATTCTAAGAACAAACAAATATATGGTCACGAAATCGAAAAACACAATTGCAATAACTGCAACTACAGCTCAATGATTAGCACTATTTTATTTTCGTGCGTTTGTTTTCAGATAGGAGTATTATTTTAATTTATTTATATTAAACATATAAAGCTGAAAAAAATTTAAATTTACCATAAATTTATACTGTGTTTTCATAAGTCCTAAATCGAGACTGAAACTATGTGCACACGGGTCACGTTTTTGAGCGTTTTTGCAGTGTCGTTTTCAAATTTAGCGTTTAGGCGCCTTGTTCACATTGATCGTTTTTCTCGCAACATTTTCAGACAAAGCACTAGTTTTTTATAGTCTTCGTTTCCAAATTTAAACACGGAATTTCATTTTCGCCTTCTACTTTTCTGTTTACACAATAACAAAGTGTCAAAACGACCAAAAGTTTCAGACATAGAGAACGAATCTTTGGCATCATTTTCACTATTTGAAACGTTTTTGCTTCCTGACGTCGTTTTCATACGTTTTCGTGTGAACAGAACCGTACGTGAAAATGGTACTTTCAGTTTTAGAAATTAACGCATTACAACCAAAAACCGAATTTTGATGAATTTTGATGAATTTGACCTTTTTTATCCCCAGGCGCCGAATACACAATTTATAATATTTTTGTATTTTGAGCAGTCTTAAAACTCTTAGTGCCGGATAGGGTTAACTGGGCTTTTGTACGACCCGATTTTTCAAGAGTTTAATTAAATTTTATGCGTCAGAAAGTGAGTAAAACGGATATGATCATATGCAACCGATCGATGATACCGATCGCTGTATGCGGTATGTCTTTCAAAACTGTAGGCTGATAAGAGTTAACAGTAATTTCGCTAAAGAACTAAAGAAGACAAGTCCATTCTTATGGCATGCCTCGTCTTTCTCTTGGTTTTCTTCTCATCGGTGCCTGTGGAGTCTTCTTGAGGATCTTGCGCCTCTGACGACTCAAAATATTCTCTTTGGCTTTGACTGCGGTTTGCTGTCTCAAACGGATTAGCTGGTACGTCTTTATGTGCTACTCGCACTTGGTTTCCCTTATGGCAAGTTTGCTCGTGCCTCTTACGTTAATCGTCGGGCCGTATGTTAGATAACTTTTATGCCGGTTAATACGTTTTCCCTCGTGAAATAAATAATAAAGTTTCTATAGTCGTCAAAAACCGAATTACATTCAAGACACTAAAGTTTTATTTTTTTTCTTTTGGGCAGTTTTGAACCGCACATAATTGATAAAAATTAAAGCCTTCGCTATAAGAGCAGTCGAGCGAAGAAAATGCCCGGAAACGTGGGTTTCACATTTCAGCCTCCCGTCGATTTTCGACAAATAAAAGACTAATAGTTTTACTAGAAAATAGAAATACATTTAAATGGTTTTGACATAAGACCACACAAACCATTATTTTAAATCCAAATTTATCGCTTTATATATCGCCTTCGTTCTTAACTTTTACAATTTGCTGAATGCCGATTTCGCAATTTGCCGAACAGTAACGAAGAAATTTGCCGACTGGGGCCAACTTGTGAAAATTATTGGGGGGGTGGAGCACCCCCCCACACCCCCCCGCTCGCGACGGCCCTGAACACTGGTCAGTCAAACTTTACACAAGTTGTCAGCTTGTTGAGACAAGCGGAATCTTTGCTTTCAGGTGTATCTAATATAGTGAACACAGTAGCTGATAATACAATTGCATCATTAAGGCCACCTAACAGTTCAACCGTGACAGAGAATTCGAATGTGGATAGTGTGCCATCAGTCGCGACAACGTCGACAAGTTCTGATAGATGCTTGGCGAACTTTTGCTCGCTTTTTTCCAGTTACAATCGTGGGTCATTTCGGCAAAATTCATCTCGTGCGTCTTCGGCTCCACCGCCAAAACGAAAACAAACATTTTCTCAGTTTGTACCCAAAGATACGCGGATAATTCTTTTGTTTGGCTGATCGCCATCAAAACTATCAATCAACTCGAGGACAAAAATGTGACCTTCAGCTTGCTGGGTTAGGAAGGAAAAAAAAAGTTTTTAAGAAAGATGGCAGTGCATCTGCTTTTGTGGCCAAACTCGAAGAATATTTTCCCAAACTTCAGAATTGTGGTGGTTTCGAAATCCTTCGCAGCAGAGCTAGCAAAAAAGATTTGGTTGTAATACTTCTACCACCATCTGGTTACTCTGTGCCCTTTTTGAGAGAGGCATCCGGATTAGGCCAAGCACTGGCATACATCAGACCATACAAGTGTTCGTTTTCGTTTTGGCGGTGGAGCCAAAGATGCACAAGATGAATTTTGCCGAAATGACCCACGATGGTAACTGGAAAAAAGCGAGCGAAAGTTCGCTAAGGATCTATCAGAACTTGTCGACGTTGTCGCGACTGATGGCACGCTATCCACATTCGAATTCTCTGTCAGGGTTGAACTGTTAGGTGGCCTTAATTATGCATTTGTATTATTATAGCTACTGTGTTATCACTATATTAGATACACCTGAAAGTAAAGATTCCGCTTGTCTCAACAAGCTAACAACTTGTGTGAAGTTTGACTGACCAGTGTTTGTTTGTTGATCAGCCATTATTTTTTATTTCAAGACCGTTATAAACACGCGGTTCGAACGAGCACGTGTTTCGACTCGCGCGTCGCGTGTTTCACAATACAAGCTTGCATAATACAAGCTTTCACAATTTAATTAATGTTGCATAATATAAAAAAGCTTTCACAATTTAATGTTCCATAATACAAGCTTGCATAATATAATGTTCCATAATGCAATCTTACACAATTTAATGTTCCAAAATACAAGCTTGCACATTGCAGTATACCAGGATACAAGCATGCTTGCATAATACAGTGTTCCAAAATACAGCCTTGTTAAAGAAAATTAGTTTATCAAAATACAATGTTGCATAACAAATATCGCAGTTGCATTTTGAAGGGAATATCACTTCATAGTCAATAGCCCATTCTGTATCGAAAGTGAGAGAATTAATGCAGCCATTGAGAGTCAGTGCTCTCCCCTTGATGTGTAAAATCATCTAGCGTTAGACAGAGTATATAAGAAAGTATGGTGCATTTATAGGGCACAATGCAACTATGTCAAAGTTCTTTGGCGTTCAATCTATATCCTCCGAACTTCCCGCCCTAGGACTACATGTGATATACTAAAACAAATAGTCATTGACTGCTAATTTAACTACATATGCTGCATAAACAACTGGTCATAGGCTCCCAAGTGAATAAGAATCTCATCAAGAAATTGAGTAATTACCAGTTTCTTCCTCAGGAGTTTCAAACACGTCAAAACGTGATAACTTTGCTTTTGGTTTGTTTGTCGTTTTTGTTGATGGTACTGATGTTTTGACAACTTTCATAGACACAGTCACTTTCTTTTTCTTTGAATTATCTTCACTTGATGGAACGGACTTGTTTGGTTCTGGAGTTTGAGGACTACTAGACTGTTGTTGTTGCATCGCTTGAAAGCGAGCAAGAAAATTTCCATCATTGTTGAATAAAGTATGGTTCACATTCGGATTGGGTGAATTATTAGCGTTGCTAACACTTGCTGTAGATAAAGATGCGTTTGTAGAAGCAGAAAAATTTCCACTTTTCTTCGCTTCAATACGGCGAAGTAACTCTTGTTTCTTTTGGTCTACAGACGACATCGTATTTTGTTGTGAACGGGAAGCCATCTTGACTATCCCGCAATGCATTGCGTCAGCTCACTGTCACAGAATAGGAAGTTATACCAGAAGCGTAACTCGAGCAAATATTTGTCCGCGTTTTAGTTACAAGCGATTCGTCATCAATCACGCCATCCTGGCTAGTACAACCGGCACTTTGTACCTACCAAATCCTGATAAAAACTTTCGGCTGTACTAGCCAGGATGGCGTGGCCTGACGTGAGCGAGTTAAAATTTTCGTGGACGTCAAACAATAAGGGAAACGACTAGAGTTACGCTTCTGGTATAACTTCCTATTCTGTGCTGTGGTTGCGTCAAAAAGGACCGATGGCGATACATATTTTGAATATTTCCACAGAAAGAAATGCCTCTGCTTCCATTGTTCGTAATTTCGTATCAGCCTCGAAAGTATGGTAAGTAGTTCCATAATATAGATCACAAAAGTTCTGTAAAATGAAATTTTCTTGGAACAATCCATTCGTCTGATTGTGGGCTTGGTTAACCTGATGCATATGGGCTTTAAGCCCCTATCACCCCTATGATATGTGGTAATACTGACAACACGCTGACAACCTTCTGAATATTTATATTGTATGGCAATGAAAACGTAAGTGCAAAAATATAAACTTCGCACTTACTTGTTATTGTCGTTATGAGGTGTAGTTTTAATATTGCTCGATTCTTTTCAGGCGCAACCTTGGAGTCGCTTCATTGCCATTGGACCTTGCGTGCTCCGGAGCTTGGACAGAATTTTGTTTTTTATTAAGGCTAATTTCCACTCAAGAAAATTATCCGTGGATTGGAACGGACAAGAAAATTTTCCTTTGTCTCGTGAGCTCTGGGTTGGAACTAATGTCTTTAACACAAAGAAAAAGTTTCTTGTCCGTTCTAATCCACGGATAATTTTCCTGAGTGGAAACTAGCCTTTAGAGAGTAGAGATGTTCAGATTTTGACTTTCAGTACCGCAACCATTAACCAATCAGATCTGATATATTCTACCCGATTAATCAAATGCGTATTATGCCTGTGAAAGGTAGCTGGTGGAGTCAAACCTGAACCGCACTAGACGCTAATGTTGTTGACATTCTCCTTAATCGCATTCTCGAAGCGCCAGAGAATCAAAGAATGGGGATATACATGTATTCAGACATTCTGTGTTCGGAGTTTGGGTGTGTTTTAGTTCAAATGCTCGCATTAACAAGAACAAGCACAGAACATTTCGCGTATTTCGCGACAGAAATCAATCTTTATGCACGACTTCATCGCGTCAAACTTCATTAAAATGGAAATGCGCGAGGCAGCCAGTTCCAGTGGCGTAACTACTATGGGCTCAGACCGGGAGACCCCGGGGGCCCCAACCCCAATGGGGGCCCCCTGGCTTAGGCAATAGAGCAAAAACATTGGCCAGGGCCTCTGATATGTTACAATGTCGTTTTCTGACCATCAGAATTCTGAAAAATCTCTCCCCAAAGTCCAGGAAATGGCATTTCAGGGAGTCTAGATTCAAAAATTTTCCGGATGAACATGCCCTGGACCCCCTAGAAAACTCGTGCATATACGACGCTCGACTCGTGCCTTTGGCACTTCTACTAGGGGGCCTTCGAAAATTTTGAACCGGGGGCCCCCTGCTTTAACGTTACGCCACTGGCCAGTTCTTGTACATTTTCACATATGCATGTGATGGAACTTTAAAACAGCCGAGTTCGAGCATCGAGAAATCACAAATCAACTTTTGTTGCTGTTGGCTTAAGGAAAACAGCATATATGCACCAACAATTAGAAATGGTCTACTGCAAGATTACAATATAGGTAGCTACACAATTGCGGCTTTTGGAGGCCCACCTTTGTTATCATAACAAACACCCTAGAACTGCAGCACTGTGTACATGCGAAATAATTTATATTAGCTAGTGGGATTTTACATAATTTTACATAATTTCACATTTGGACCCAGTTTTTGGAGTAAATGAGGGATATGAAAACATTTTTTTGCAAATAATTGAATAATTTTGGTGCTTTCTGGTGCATTTCTGCTTCAAGTCCGCCATCTTAAATTTAGTTTAAAACTCTCTACATGCATGCAGGTAGTCTTCTAATCATGGCCATGCTCAATTGGATTGTCGACCAAACCCACAATGATTCTAGTTTAACTAAGTGTTTTTTCGAAAGAACACAGTTTAGTAAAGAGAGAGAGAGAGAGAGAGAGAGAGAGAGAGAGAGAGAGAGAGAGAGAGAGAGAGAGAGAGAGAGAGAGAGAGAGAGAGAGAGAGAGAGAGAGAGAGAGAGAGAGAGATTTAAATTCGGAAATGCTTTACAAGAAAGCCGAATACATATACAATATTTAGCTAGAAGCTGATGATGTGATTATTGCTCCTTTTTTAAACTGACTCAAACTGTTGCTGCATTTTACATCTTCTGGTAAAGTATTCCACAATTTTACCCCTGAAAATGCAAAAGTCTTCTTTAAATATTCAGTTTGAGGCTTTGGTAGTACAAGGCATAATTTTCTATTTCTTAATGTATAAAAATTATCTATGGCAGACATTTCAAAATGGTCTCTTAAATACTTTGGTGCCAAATTGTTTACTATCTTATACATCATAGTTAATTTGTGTGTGTCTCGCATTTCTGCAAGAGTTTCCCAGTTTAGTGTTTTCCTTATTTCATTGGATCTGACATCATAACCTTGATGAGTAATAACTCTAGCGGCACGATTTTGCAACTTTTGTAGAATGCTGGCACCAGCAGCAGGAAGGCTGTCCCAAACAACATCGCAGTAATCAAATAATGGTTGTATTAATGAGTTATAAATTGTTACCAATGTCGATAATGGGACAAACCCCCTTACCCGCCGTAAACCTGAAATTCCAGCACCTACTTTTTTTGAAATATTTTGAATATGTTCATGCCATGTTAGTCTTTCATCAATATGTACCCCTAATGACTTGGTTGCTTTGACCCTTTTTATCGCTTTGTTTTCAAGAAATAGTAGTGGTACATCTCTTAACTTGTCAAGATTTTGAACTGATCCAATGAACATATACTCAGTTTTAGTCACGTTAAGGCTGAGTTTGTTTGCTTTCAGCCAGTCACTTATATTATTTAAGTCATCATTAGCATGTGTTACTATTTCTCGAATAGATGTTCCTGTCGTTGTTATGTTTGTATCGTCAGCATACATTCGAGCTGTAGAATGTTTTAAACACTGAGGAAGATCGTTTATATATATGAGAAACAATAACGGTCCAAGAATTGACCCCTGAGGCACACCACAATTAATGGTACGTTCGCCAGATAGAACGTCATTCACATAACATTTTTGTTTGCGATCTTGTAAATAGGATTGAAACCAGGATAAACTATTTGCATCAACCCCGTAAGAGAGAGAGACAGACAGAGAGAGAGAGACAGAGAGAGAGAGACAGAGAGAGAGACAGAGAGAGAGACAGAGAGAGAGAGCCGAGACAGAGAGAGAGAGAGACAGACAGACAGACAGACAGACAGACAGACAGACAGACAGACAGACAGACAGACAGACAGATATCCAACAAACCGATGCAAGCCGTGATCAGCAAGAATGTATAGATTGAGCAGACGTTAAACCATAGCCTATCGAAGGGGAGATGGCTGTGAAACTCATTAGAATAACAATATAACTCATTATCTATGTTGGTCAACGTTTATTCATAAATCTTGCCTTCACCGTCACGTGTGTATTGTATTTTTACCCAACTAACCAATAGTAATGTTTTAGGAAAGTCACCTATACTCGAACAATAGGGAAACTGGAACTATGAATTGCTATTGGTGGATTTGGTAAAAATACAATACACACGTGACGGCGAAACGACCAGATTTATGAATAAACGTTGACTAGCATAGATGAGTTATATTGTTATTCTAATGAGTTTCAAAGCCATCTCCCCTGCGATAGGCTATGGTTAAACTCGAATTGAATTTAAACTGATTCCTGAGCATACATCATAAACTGCAATCATGGTACATCTGAATTCTGATTGACAGGAAATACGGATATTTCAATGTGTCTCAGAAAGTCGCTCATTTTATAAACATGATATCTGGATCGCTGAGTTTCGAGGTGGAGTATTAAAATTAATATCGAATTTTATACGTTACGGACTTTATATAAATACGGAATGTAAACAATGTTGTCTGCGCTAGCGCAATCGCATGCTCAGAGACCACATACATTTATGGATAACGTTTGTATTTGTGATTAATACTTGTGTTTCATCGGACATTAGTCACATTACGAAAACATCTCCTCACTAGTCCTCAGGATAACTTAATAGGATAATTTTGCGTATCCAACCCACTCATGCATCGATCACGCCACGCTTTTAGCCTTTCACGCTTTGCGTTTGCGGTTCACGATTTGTAGTCCTTGTCTGTTATGCATGAGTCAATTCCTGGAGTAACCATCCCCCCCCCCCTCCTCCCCGGGACACCCCCGGGAATTTGCCTGATAGACAGTTCACGGGGGTTGGGAATTTGCCTTTCATATATGTGTACGGGGGCCGGGTATTGTTATAGTCGCTAAGAACCCCGGGGATTTGACAAATGGTTGCCCAGAATCCCACCCGCAAATTTTAAGGCAGCAAAACCCAGTTTCAGGCACGCATGTGGGCGCGCTGATCGTATTTTGCGTCCTCGTGTCAAGGTGGCGTGAAATTTATTGTCAGAATAAGCGAAAATTATAACCTGTGCCATGCAAATTTAAATACAACTATTAAAGGTTTATGATTTCATTGTTGAAATACTTTTAACCACTCTTAGCAAGATAATTAAAGTTTTATAATATTCCATAGCAGTTTAATACTATAGTGTTATTAAATGACTATGCTATACGTCTTTTCCGGGTTTGCGACGCCATCTTGAAAGTATTGTTTTCGCTATTGTGTTTGCCCCCCACTTGCAAATTTTCCTATAGGGAATTACTAGCAATTCCATTGTTTTCACTATTGTGTTTGCCCACTTGGCAAAATGGCGTCGCGAACCCGGAAAAGGCGTATTAACGTTTTTATTTATTAACGTTTAAAATCGTCCCCGGGGTGGGGCATTTTCCACTCTCAGCTTGCCCAAGGGCCGTGCATTAGTCTCCTAGTTGTGTCCCGGCATCCGGGCATTTGCACTATCGTAACCAATCAAATCAAATTCCCGGGTGTGTTCCCGGGGGGGGGGGATGGTTACTCCTGGCATTGACTCATGTATTACACCATAGCATGTATGTCGTCATTTTCAGGCCAATGTGAACGCCTGAGCAGGCGTCTTGTTAATACTAGATCTCGCGTATGTCACACAGACACGTTTCCAATTATATCGTAATTTAATGTGCCGTAAGTCAATTGTATTTTAATTAGCTAAAAATCCACCATCGGAAGCGATCATTGCACCAGTGATATTGCTAGCAAAGTCACTCAGTAAATAAACGATAGAGTGGGCGATCTCTTTCGGATCTATGAAAAATAAGAAATAACTTGCATTAAATGAGACTATATATGTCGCGTTATGAGACTAAATTGAAAACTAAATTTATTGGTACTGGGTAGCTCTGTATATTATCAGCTGCTCTCAATAATATGCAGTAAAGGGACATAAATGATAATTGGTCCAGTGTAACTACAGCACATGCGCGGTACACACGTACACTTGTCAACAAGATGTGTTCGCTACAGGCTTGTAGCAAGCTTGTCAACAAGTTGTAACAATGTTAATATTTTTCGAGTTGCTACAAGGTTGTCACTCACAACTTGTTGACAAATTGTTGAATGGCAGGAGGATAACATGTTGTTACAACAGTGAAGGTCATCTCTTCATTAGTTCATGGTGTTACGTACTACAGACGAAAACGTGGACTAACTTTATGCAGTATACGGGATAACACTGCATGTGCCTCCCCTTCTCACTTCAGCCCTACTACAGCAAGAGATCGTACAGGAGACGATTGTTTAGTAGACTTCAAATTGAAATAAACAGAAAACTGCATATTACAGAAAGGGCCGCCAAGAGGGGGGCAAATTGCCCCGGACCCCCACCTTAATAGGGCCCCAACTTGAGAGCGGTAGCCTAAAATTGAGTAGGTTCTTTAAATTGGTCAGAGCATTTTTGAAATTGAGGTCCCCTTACAGTACCTCCACATGCAGTCTAGTTAAGGTCTAGTTGGGTCTAGCTTAAAAATAATGTCATGGGGGCCCCCAGGGAAGATTTGCCCCGGGCCCCGCGAATTCTCTCGGCGGCCCTGATTACAGAAATTGATCCCCAGTCACAGACAAAAGGCATATGCATGCATTTGCCACAGTGCCAATGTGCCATCAACTTCCCTGTACTGAATAAAATTGAAGAAATCGAAACATATATACGAGTGGAAAATGCATACCTGCGATTTGACCTCTTGGTGTTTGAGCAAGTACACCCTGTACGCCATCCGATTCAATATAACTTTGTATAGTTGGTGTAAGTGTGAGACCGGGCAAAACACTATTTACTCGGATCTAAAATTAATGCAATTAATATATAATTACTTTGGCACGGTGTCAGGTTTCACAATTATATTCATGATACTGACGTAGCCTGCTCCGCAGGCACCTCTATGAGATCGGGTGGTCGGTTTTTCGAACTACCCATTCGCAGGCTAAAACGCATGCAGATGGCTGCGGAGGAGGCTCGATACTGACGTAGCTTTATCTGACCTTGTGTGGTGCAAGTTCTACAGCTAGTGTCTTTGTTAGATTATCCAAAGCAGCTTTAGAAAAACCTACAATAGACGAAACATAATCATGTTTGAGAGTACAGTAGACATTACAAGACATGAGCAGCTGATACCTGACGACGGTTGACCAGCAATCATCATCTGTTGCACTCGATGACGTTCACTGCATAAAACTCACTTGTGGTAGCAACTAATTAGAAATACATGCAACCCTTCGCATTTTGAAACCAAATAGCTATTACAGTTCCCAAACACCCTTCCCAATATTTTCCATTTCATGCAGACAATTGAAGCAATAATAATTTAAACAGAAATTCAAGCACCACACTTTAACATGCATTGTTTTATTGCTACTTACAGTAGCAGGAGTGAGAAGCCTGCCATATATTTGCCACCGAAGCCACATGCGGTATGTGTTCAATTGGTTTGACCCATCAGGTTGGTTTTCAAACTCACCGTGGCTACAGTCAGTGACAAAGCCCTTTGGACAAAATAGCAAAAGAGCGTACGTTTACAACATAATCGAACCCCGCACCCCCGTTCAATGTTGTGTGTGGAAATGCCTGCGCAAAATGTTCCTTGCCAGCGCCAGACCCAACGTTGTTCAGGGTGGGGGAGGGAGAGATGTCATTATGCTGAACAGTATTTGGAAATGCGTAAATATGTATATATTATTAATAATCACTGTCCAAAAACCCTTTGCCACGCACTGATTGTAGACGCTGACTTCAAAAAATAGCTTCCGTATACAGATTGTGTATACATTACTGTAAATATCCGAGTGACATTATTATCACGGGCTTCCCCCTACTCGCTCCGCGAATTGCCTACGGAGTGTGTGGTTACGAACAAACGAAAAACGCGACTTACCATACGGTGCCGTATGCCCCGAAAATCGATCCGAGACAACAGTTGAAATATTCACAATGGCTCCACCAACATTTCGTTTTATTAAGTCACGAGCGACCATCTACAAACAAAACAAATTTAGACAAGCTGGGTAAAATTATTTTGTAAAGGAAAAATACATTTTAACTATTTTGTAAAGGAAAAATATACAGGGGGTGGCCATAAAAACGTGGCACCCCATGAAAAACGGCATATCCATTTCTTTGTCACCATAAGTAAAGGAGTCTTAAAAAAAGTTAGGTTTTTGAACTTGTTTAGTCTTGTGTATATGTGAATAAAAATTGTGATTTCAAGTCAAGGATCAGAAAAATAAGTAAAATAGATACGTTTAGAGAATTTTAAAAGCTAAAAACTATTTATTAGAATAATCCGAAAATGTTTACCTGGCTTAAGCGGAGTGGAGCTGTCAAATTTACCTTAATTGCTCTGAAATATAAATATTGTAAATTAAAATATCAGGATTTTGGGAAACTCACTCGACAAAAATAAACTAATTGTTGGTTGAAGGGATTTTGGGCATCTAACTCGATCAAATTAAAGTGCTGAAGGTCTTTCTTAGAAACCCTTCAACAGGCAAAAGACTAAAATGATTGTAATTGGAACTGCAAGAAGCCTCCCTAATTTAGCTTGTTTACTACACTTCTACCTTATATTTTAATATTTAGTGTTAATTTAACTTCCACAAAACCTTGATCGACCACAAGGAGAGCGATACAGTGACAACGTTACGGTAAATGCAATAATATCAAATTGAACATACTTGCTAATTTCATTCTCTGTTACGTCTAAAATATTCATATGAACAAGATATCCAGCATTGTTTACCAACAAGTCAATATGATCATCAGTTGATTCAATAGCTTTTACTGCTTCATCCAAGTTCAACAAATCTGCACATATAGTCTTAATATTGCCTGATACCTAAATGAAACAGTATTAAGAGCATTTTGGTAAACTCCAGTCAAGAAAACACAGAATATTACCGACGTTGAACCAATGTACCACACAGTCGAACTTCTCTACTGCAAACACTGAAGGGACATATAGCCGGGTCCGTATTCGAGAACTGCCCATTTTATAGTGATGTCCTATTAGAGAGGTGTCCTTATTAGAGAGGTGCTCTTGTTAGCGAGGTGCCCTTGTTAGCGAGGTAATCTTATTATAGACGTTTCCCTTATTAGAGGGGCTTCCTTACTAGAGAGGTGTCTTTATTAGAGAGGTGTATTTATTAGAGAGGTGTCCTTGTTAGAGAGCTTTCCTTATTAGAAAGATGTCCTTGTTATAGAGGTTTCCTTATTAGAGAGGTGTCCTTATTAGCGAGTACGTGTCCTTGTTAGCGAGGTGTTCTTATTAGAGATGTTTCCCTTATTAGAGAGGCTTCCTTATTAGAGAGGTGTTTTTATTAGAGAGGTGTCTTTATTTGAGAGGTGTCTCTATTAGAGAAGTGTCCTTGTTAGAGAGGTTTCCTTATTAGAGAGGTATCTTTATTAGAGAGGTGTCCTTGTTGTAGAGGTTTCCTTATTAGGGAGGTGTCTTTATTAGAGAGATGTTCTTTTTACAGAGGTTTCCTTATTAGAGAGGCTTCCATTTTGAGAGATGTCTTTATTAGAGAGGTGTCCTTGTTAGCGAGATGCCCTTGTTAGCGAGGTGCACTTGTTAGCGAGGTGTTCTTATTAGAGATGTTTCCCTTATTAGAGAGGTGTCCTTGCTAGAGAGGTTTCCTTATTAGAGAGGTGTCTTTATTAGAGAGGTGTTCCTGCATGTTAGAGAGGTTTCTTTATTAGAGAGGTGCCCTTGTTAGCGAGGTATTCTTATTAGAGATGTTTCCCTTATTAGAGAGGTGTCCTTGTCAGAGAGGTGTCCTTGTTAGAGAAGTTTCCTTACTAGAGAGGTGTCTTTATTAGAGAAGTGTCCTTGTTATAGAGGTTTCCTTATTAGAGAGGTGTCCTTATTAGCAAGTACGTATTCTTACATGCATTCTAAGTTAGTACACATTCAATTGTTAGAAAGCTGCGGATTGAGAGGGATTCAACTACCTGAAAAATACAAGTGAAACTTCAACGTCCCTTCGTTGGGACCTTTGTAGCATGGATCGGGAATATACATGTGCTTTTATACTGGTGAATATAAAAGAGATCACGTGACAAAAAATAAACCAATCAGACGAATTTGGTCAAAACGAACTGTAAACAAAAAAGCACCTTTTTCAGTGTACATTCAAATGTTTTATATATTATATAGTGTATAAAGTGTATAAAGTGTATATGTTATATAAATCTATTCTCAAACCATGCAGACAAAGAACTTTTTTACCTCTGTTTTCAAAGAGTCAAGATCATTTTGGGTTCTTGAAAGTGCGATAACATTTGCTCCACATTTTGCCAACAATATAGCTGTTGCTCGACCAATACCTTGCAAACAGAATGTAGACAACTATTATTACTTAAAATATAGCTTTATATAATAACGTTAAGAATTCAAGCGCTTTCATTGGTCGAGAGCCATGATCTATTAGAGGACAGACCAGTGAACTGTAATAACACATGTCCTATATAGCAGTTCCCTTAGAGTTCACTGGGACAGACGCACGGAATTACGTCACGCGAAACCTTATCCAATAGCATTCCCTTATTAGAATAGATCATGTACGCGTGATATTTGTAAAATTTCGACTTTTTCAAATTTACAAATGTTTGGGTGGATAAAATTTGTTAAATCTTAGCTTGTGAGTTTTTCAAAGACTTTGATCGTCTTTGAAAAATTCACTCTTGCATGTTTTTCCCAAATTGCATTCGAAACCATACTATTACCTATACTAATTCTAGTTCAAATTATGGCAGTTTTGATAAAACACAGTTCTTTGCTATGGCTAAAACACGTGCAATGGCCAATGGGCGTGAGTAAGTCGCCACGTCAGGTTATATACATACTGTAAGTCCTTTCATTAATATTCCCGCGTACACAAATGGTCACGCGTTTTTTTTTCACACGGCAGAACGATTTCTTTTTGTGATTCATGTATAAGGGATTTTGTGTGAATTAATATATCGAGCCACTTTAAGGCCATATTAAGGCGGTTTTCCAGTCCTCGCACGAAGCTCCTCGCAGCTCGCTGCGAGTGCTTGCATCTAATTAAAATGAACTGTTTAGCATTGTGATTGGATGAAAGTGCTCATGCATCACTCGTGCGAGGACTGGAAATCCGCCTTTACACGGGACAATTTTCAATGACGATTCCAATCTCGTTCCCTGAGCCTGCGATCCTCGGTAAGGAACGCGAGGCTCTGGGATAATCCGTTGCCGGAAGCCAAGAATTCTGGCTAAGATTGAACTACGCATTCCATTTCAACGGCCAATCAGATTCCTCCCTGAAACGGATTATCCCAGAGCCTCGCGTTCCTTCCCGAGGATCGCAGGCTCGGGGAACGAGATTGTGACGATTCGTAATGCAACGCGTGACCGAACCACTGGACCGAACCAATCAAATTTTGTTTCCATTAAAGGCCTGCCCACAGGTTCAATTCCTGCCTGAGTGTTTATAGTTGCGTTTTTCACAACTGCCCTTGTTAGGTCTAATATAAATGGATAAAATTCACACTGGAAATTTCCATCTGCAAAACCATTCTACAATTAGTTAGATCAAGTGTCCTGTAGATGGTCCCAAAACCTGAAATCTATCTAGTTTACAATCATACAACGAACTTCAGTTTATTTCCCAATCCCAAAAATGAAATGTACATATTATGTGGGTTTGCTTTCCTATATAGTTTGCTTTGTAGTTATAGTGCATTAATACAAACATGCAGTTTCATTGCCCTAAAATACATTAATACCAAAGATTTGGGTTAAAATTTACTTCAAATTATTGAAATTTAATCATTTGAAACTTTTGTGCGAAGCATGGCTCACAGTATTCTTGTGTGACTCCCATGTTTTGGTGCCTCGCATGGCTCACACTACATACTGTATATGTAGACCCTTCCTGGCTTCCACATGGCCAAATCACAAGGTGTCAAGAATTTTTGCAATACATTTCGACACAATCGTACAATTGCATACATGTGCGCAAAGCTCCCCCTTTATAAAACATTGGGTTGGGGCCCTGCTGCCCCCCTGCTTCCTACGCCCCTGCGGTCACTAACTTGTTTAGCCGACCCTTCCAACAACTCAAATCTATAGGGGGCCTCCCTATAGGGTCTGGGATATGCAATCCACTGGAAAATGTTTAAAATCTAAAGGTAATATTTACAGCACAATGTTTCGCATTAAAGATAAAAGACAGGACAAAAGATTCAAAAAGCAAATTTCAGTTACAGTAGAATATTAAACCTCCCTTCTAAATTCCATGTTTTGCTTATATTTTAGAGAAGGGGGGGGGGGTAAAATGGTTGAGTGGGGGGCCACCATGGGAGCTGGGGGGATTCCCCCCCCCCCCAGTTACATATATATAGTTAAGAAATGCCCTGGCAAAAATCCCAGTTGGGGAGAAGTTTTACTTTGACGGTGCCCAATAATGTCAAATTGACATGTGGGTGAGACCGTATTGCAGACCTGACAACCTGAGGGAGTAAAAAATCTGGAGATTTTCTTCTCTAGTGACAAAAAATCTGGAGATTTCACAAAAAGTAGTGAGAATGAATTAATTTGACTGTATTTAACATTTACAATATGTTTATGAATACAGTAGGAAAAACTGTTGAATAATTACACTATGTTGTATTTAAATAGAGGGATGTGATGCATAATTTATGTAATTTATGCATTAGCCTGCAAAAAATTATCAAAAACTAACTGCATGCACCTTCTCGCCCAAAACTAACATATTTTTTCGGAATTTCTGACTTAACTTTACTTCAACTAATGAAAATGAAAAATCCTGGAATTTAAGAATTATAAACAAGTAATTTCTGTCTGAATAAAATCTTAGTATTAAACTAAAGTAGAGGTGACAAAGTAAATTGCAAGAAATGAAATAAAGAATTAAAATCGTGAGAAAACTGAGTCATGTTGTGAGACCGTGAGAAATGTACAAAAATCATGTGACACACGGCGGAATCGTGAGAGTTGGCAGGTCGGGTATTGGTTCACAATTGAAAAAAATATTGGCATAAACTATAACTTTCAAGGCTGGGTCAACAGGTTTAAGTAAAAACGTCAACAGACATTTTGCGTGGCAACTTGAATGTTGACATTGGGGAATAAGTCCTGGGGGTTGGGGGTTGGGTGGGGGTTTGCAGACATTCCAACCTCCGATTCCTCAAAACCGGCACACTTACCAATTTTCTCATTTTACTCAAATAAACGCCTCCCTCGAATAAACGCCTCCCTCGAATAAATGCCACAGACCTGCCAAGTTCGGAAGATAAGAATGTGTGACCAGGGCCGTTGCAAGGACTTTGCCTTGGGGGCGGGGGGGGAGGTTAGATTTACCGCCTGAATTGTTTCAATTCACCTGATTTTGCGACGCCCGCGAGATGCTATCATGGTTGGCGCCGAGCACAAAATTTTGAAAATTTGAATTCTCTAGACCGTCGGAAATAGCATTTTTAGAGTCTTTCCTACCCACTGCCTAACAATGAAGATAAGTAAAATAACTACTGATCAATATGACAGTGTTACTTACAGTTTAATGTGACTATATAGGAAAATTGAGAGAATTTTGGAAATTTGGAGTCTCCAGATCGTCAGAAAGCGTATTTGGCCATGTACCCCAAGGCCACGATGCATCTGAACGTCTTTATTTGGTTGATCGATTGTTAACTCTCAGTAATTCTACGTTTGCAGACAGCGTTGTCAATGAGTTATTGCACGAAAAGTGGGATAGCGTCATATAATGGTAAAAATGCGTAACTTTAAGATCATTTTAGTCATGCGTGCGGGACAGCGGGAACAAAAGCAGAATGCGTAACTTTCACGCGAAATGCGGGAACCTTGGCAGGTCTGAATTGCCGCGCTTTTCTCAATGATGTGGTGTCCATTTGGGTTAGTGTTGAAATTGGCTGAGTTGAAACCCATAAGTAATATAACATCTTCTTGCGCCCGCTTCTGTTACGCTGCTTTACTTCATGTAGCCCTGGCAAAATGAATAGGAATTGAAAGCGAATGCTAAATTGTCAAAACAACATATGTCACTCTGGTATATCACGAGAATTACAACGATCGGCGACAAACTCGGCAATTGTTTGGAGCAACTGGAAGCTCCCATTTCATTAATATGTATTGAACCAAACGAATTTCATTAATATTTGTCACATGAGCCTTATTTGAAGAATACAACTATTAAAATACTACAGAAACCGGGACAATAAGAAGAAAACCGGGACACCGGGACAACATACAGTAGTCCAAACCGGGACAGTCCCGGGTAAACCGGGACGGTTGGAATGTTTGGGTTTGGTGGAAGTGTGACCCCCCCCCCCCTAATGTTTGAGAAAGGCAATTTTGTAAGGCAAATTTATCAAATATTCAATAATTTGTTGGGCAAAAATACATTCAAATCATGCTGAATAAGAACAAAAACCTAGCAGTCCAGTTTGAGCAATTTTAAAAATTTCAGAGACTAAATTAATTTCCCAATTATATGGGGGAGCATGCCTCTCATGCGTTTGGCACTCAATAAGCGTCCCTAGGCCCAGGGGATCAGGTCCACTGTGAAGAGCAATGTAGCAAAGGCCTGAGGACAAGGATGGTGTCTTCGTTGGTACTCCTCTGAACTCTCATAATTTTTTTTAGTTTTCCCAGCATCTTTACACCCTTTTTGTTGGACAAAGAGACTATACACCCAACCCCTCGAACGTTTAGACCCAAGTTACGCCCTTGCTCCTTCATATTAACATCATGGGCGTACCAGCGCCAAAAATATAGGGGGAGGTGGAACATAAAATGCCCAACTTCGGAAATTGCCCAACATTAATTGCAACCTCCCCCTTGTCAACCAAATTTTGTTGAAATTTAGAAGTGTCTTAGATGCAAAATTACATTATGTATTACAATAGTATGTTCTATGTGCATAAACTTAATTCATTATGAATGAGTTTTGCTCCAGTTTTCATGGACCTTGATCGTATTTGAGTAAGATTTCTGTCAAAATTGCGCTCCCCCACACCCCTCCCCGAGGTACGCCCATGATTAACATAGCCTGCGTGGGGGGCCTGATTAACATGGATCGATCCTTTATATTATTAAAAACACAATGTCTAATATATTAGTCAGGGGTTGTTAAAATATTTATTTTAAAATAATAATTATTAAAATAATTTACAACCCTTCCCTCTGGAGTACTGCCTTTCAGTGAATGTATTTATGTTAATTATGTATTCGGGAAATTGTGTCCTTTAATGAAAAAAAATTATAGTCGTAGAGAGCTTACAGTAAGATCTATTCTTAAATTCGTTAATTATAGTTATACCTTTTCCAGCTCCGGTTACCAAAGCTGTTTTCCCAGTCAGGTTGATTTCCATAAGCTTCTCCAGGCAAGCTAGCCGAAATATTAATGGGAATATTAAAACTCTCCTCCGCTGATGGTCCGCCGACCGTAAATATTCAGAAAGTGAAAAATAAAAAAATAAAAATTTGGATGTCAAAAATTTTACAATTTTAGTTAATTTTAATTAATTTGGGGTTCTTACATGAAGTACACCTCAAGTGAACTTTGACTCTAGGTACTGCTGGCTCATGTTATCGTTGTGACAATCAATACGCAGATTAGCCACGTTTTTTGCGGGGTTTTTTTCAATTGACGTTAAAAAATTTTATAAAGTTATTAATTTCGGTTCTCATTTATACTCAGTTTTTTTTTTTAATTTTTTTCCGACCTACCGACCTCTTATTTTTAAAGTCAAATCCGTAAACCAATAAATAAAAAAAGTCTCGCCTTATTTATAGCTCAGTCACAGGCTGTCAGTCAAAACTTGAAACCTCTGGATCAATCTCGTTTAGTGATGGGCGATACCGAGTACTCTGTATTCGATACCAGCGATACCACAAACAGCGGTATCGGTATCGATTACTGACGTGGTATCGTTCGATACTTGCACCCTTTTTTAAATGACTTGCTTAATTTCACTTCTTGGTTGAATAAGACTTAATGAACCACTAAAATAACTCTTAATATTTCAAATGTGGTGCGCCAAGTCAAGTATAGAAAATATGTATTACGTTTCGGGCTTTTGGTTTACTTATAGCTTTATTTAGGTTACATACAGTAATGTAAAATGTTTTTTCCGCTGACCGGCAGGTATCGAAAGTAGCCGATACTAGCAATTTAAGTACTCATTTCCGGTATCGAAAATTGAAATTTTGTGTTTATTTTGGTATCGAAATAGGTATCGGTATCGACCGATACCGATCTTAAAAGTATCGGTATCGGTATCGAATTAAAAATCCTGGTATCGCCCCTGGTATCGCCCATCACTAATCTCGTTCCCGTCACGGCAAACGCGCAGCCTGCATATTCCGTGAAGCCAGTAACTCGCCCGCGGGTGGAAGGCCGAGGAACTAGGCTAAGGCTCAACCTCGTTCCCAGGCTAGGCGAACGAGATTGCCTCTGGAATTTTTGCTGTCGACCAGGGGCGTAGGAAGCATAAAAAAGTTGGGGGGGGGCACTGGTTTTGAGGGGCACTTTTGGTATGAAAAGGGCTAAACAAAATTTCCCGGAAATATTGGCGACAGGGGGGGGGGTAGGATAGGAAAAATAAATGCAATAATAAATCAAAGGCCGTTGAGGCAGACTCGCGGATGAGACCAAATGAAAGTGACAGAAAGCATTAAAGCAGTTTGCAGTTGTTTTTGCAAACGAGCACCGTGAAAATTTTGCCATTTGTCGTGCTCCAGCTCGATTTCCGGTTCTGAAACGGACCCGATTTGCAGCCAAATAGTGCGCGCAAAGCAGGCTGGTCATTTCTCATTGTTTAACTGCCCCACACTCAAGTAACCACAAAGACTCGCATATGTGCTTTGCAACACTGTGCAAAATGCAATCTGAACAACATTTTTCACGAAAGCAAAGGGCACTTTGCCACCGGAAAAAGGACACTTTTTGTGTCTTCTGAAAACTGGGGGGGGCCTTGACCCCCTTGGTTCCTACGCCCCTGCTATCGACTCTCGACTTTTCGCTGTCGACTCTCGACTTTTTGCTGTCAACTCTCGACTTTTACTCTCGACTTTTACACTCGACAGAATCACAGAAATGTTCACGGCATACAGTTCTACAGCCCTAATTTCCCGCCCGCAAGTTCTCCCCAGTGGTTCACTTCTCCCCTATGGTTCTCCCCCAAAAAACCGCCTAGCGCTACGCAGGCTAGTTGCTGAAATAAAAAATATCGCGCAAGCCCCTATTAAACCTTGGGGAAAAAATTCATGCGAGAAAAAAATTTATAAAAAAGTACGTGCAAGTCGGCATACATAAAAAAGGCAGCACGGACATATTTTGCACAGAAAGAAATGGGACCCACATTTGGACCCAGTTTTTGGTAAATGCGGGATATGAAAACATTTTTTTTGCAAAGAATTGAATAATTTTGGTGCATTTCTGGTTCAAGACCGCTATCTTAAATTTAGATTAAAACTCTCTAAATGCACACAGTCTTCTAATATATTTGGATTATATATCTGATGCGGACATATGATGCATGATTTAGGGTGTATTATCAAGTATATACTCGGGTAACAGTGTTACAAGTGTTACACTATCTTTATTTAGGGGTAGGTTTAGTGTGTGTAACACTATGTAACACGGTGGGGTTAGGGTTAGTGTGTGTAACACTATGTAACACGGTGGGGTTAGGGTTAGGTGTGGGGTTAGGGGTAGGGTTAGTGTGTGTAACACTATGTAACACTACGTAACACTGTCAACACTCTGTAGCACTATGTAACACTATGTAACAATGTGTAACGCTATGTAACACTGTGTAACACTATGTAAGAATATGTAACATTGTTTAACACTGTGTAACACTTGTAACAGTGTTACAACTGAGTGCCATAATAAAGCCACCCTAAATCGTGCATGGTACAGTATAGATGCGGATATCTCAATGTGTCTCAGAAAGTCGCTCATTTTATAAACATGACAAAAATTGACCAACTATTGATTTAAAGTGCCAGCAATGCTGTCAATATCAGTGCTGCCAAAAATATCAGTGCCGCCATATCACTGCTATCAAAAATGTTATAGAGAAGTTCAGCAAGGGCCATCCCCTATTGCTCTACAGTGATGCTACAGGAGGAACGTGAACTAAACCATCTTTATTTATACTAGATCTCGCATATGCCACACAGATACGTTTCCAATTATATCGTAATTTAATGTAACACAAGTCAATTATATTTTAATTAGCTGAAAATCCACCATCGGAAGCGATGTTTGCACCAGTGACATTGCTAGCAAAGTCACTCAGTAAATAAACGATAGAGTGGGCGATCTCTTTCGGATCTATGAAAAATAAGAAATATATAACTTGTATTAAATGAGACTATTTGTCGCGTTATGAGACTAAATTGAAAAATAAATTTATTTGTTAGCTACTCTCAATAATATGCAGTAGAGACATAACTTATTAATTGGTTCAGTGTAACTACAGTACATGCGCGGTACACATGTAAACTTGTTAACAAGATGTGTTCGCTACAGGCTTGTAGCAAGCTTGTTAACAAGTTGTAACAATGTACCATGTCAATGTTAATATTTTTTCGAGTTGCTACAAGGTTGTCACTCACAAGTTGTTGGAACAGTAAAAGTCATCTCTTGATTAGTTCATGCTATTACGTACTACAGACGAAAACGTGGACTAAACTAACTTTATGCAGTATACGGGATAACTCTGTATGTGTCACCCCTTCTCACTTCAGCCCTACTACAGCAGGATATCGTACAGGAGACGATTGTTTAGTAGACTTCAAACTGAAATAAACAGAAAACTGCATATTACAGAAATTGATCCTCAGTCACAGAGACGAAAGGCATTATGCATATCATATGCATGCATTCACCGCAGTGCCAATGTGCCATCAACTTCCATATCAAGGGTGGATTTATAGGGGGGTGCACAGGGGTGCGCACCCCTGTTGGCCTTGGTCAACAGGGGTGCAATAAAATCAAATTCAGAAATATGGCAAAAAATACCAAGGTTTTTCCTTTTTTGAAGGAAAACTGAAGCTCATAATGCAATGCCCATATCGCAGCAAATGGCATTTCTAGGGTTCTAATTTTCAAAATTTTTCGGGGGCATACCCCTGAACCCCCTAAGGAGTTTGTGCCTTTGGCGCTTGAGTCGTTAGGAAGCCAGTTAATTTGAATGCTCTCCCACCACCCCTAAAGAATTATAAAGAAACACTCGGCTGCTCACCCAGCACCCCCCCCCCCTAGAAAAATCTTGCTGGGTCTACCCATGTTCCATATACGAGTGAAAAATGCACTGCCTCGTCCCCAGGCGCTATAAAAGGATTTCACATACGAGTCACTAAATAAAAGGTTTAGTTATGAAGTAGTGCGTCACATTATAGGCGCGCAAAGGGGAATAGGATATGAGCGTTCTGGTTAATGCGCCTCTGCCTCAAGCCTATAACTCCCTGCGCTTGTTCGTCGCGATGTACTACTTCGGAGATTAGTCCAAAAACCATGACCAGCCGACAATTTAAAAAAATAAAGTAAAAAACAAATTCCGAAAATACAGGACATCTTGAGAATTCAATATATAATTCAAAACAAGACGCAGTTTGAGACTGTAAATTTTCGACTTTATTTCAAAGTCATCTTCAGACAGAATGAAATACAATACTTTACAACACATATATATATACAACGCAGAGAGAGAGCATCTGTCATGTGGGCGGAAAGAAGGATTATCCAAGCGAAGCGAAACATGATAAAGAAAATGGTAAAGAAGTTATTACCATTTCAGTTATTACCATTTTCTTTATCATGTTTCGCTTCGCTTGGATAATCCTTCTTTCCGCCCACATGACAGATGCTCTCTCTCTTCCACAAGGAGAGCGATCAAGCATACAGTGACAACGTTATCATGCCGTTGAACGGTAAATGCAATAATATCACATTAAACATACTTGTTAATTTCATCCTCTGTCACGTCTAAACAACTCATATGAACGACATATCCAGCATTGTTTACCAACAAGTCAATATGATCATCAGTTGATTCAATAGCTTTTACTGCTTCCTCCAAGTTCACCAAATCTGTACATATAGTCTTAATATTGCCTGATATCTAAATGAAACAGTATTAAGAACATTTTGGTAGACTCCAAACAAGAAAACACAGAATATTACGGGCGTTGAATCAATGTAACACACAGTCGAATCTCTCTACTGCAGACACTGAAGGGACATAGCCATGTTTTCCGTATTAGAGAGGTGTCCATGTTTAAAAGACTTTCTTATTAGAGAGGTGTCTTTATTAGAGAGGTGTCCTTGTTAGAGAGGTTTTCTTATTAGAGAAGTGTCTTTATTAGAGAGGTGTCCTTGTTAGAGAGGTTTCCTTATTGGAGAGATGTCTTTATTAGAGAGGTTGCCTTGTTATAGAGGTTTTCTTATTAAAGGGGTGTCCTTGTTAGAGAGGCTTCCTTATTAGAGAAGTGTCTTTACTAGAGAGGTGTCCTTGTTATAGAGCATTCTAATGTAGTACACATTCAATTGTTAGAAAGCTGCGGATTGAGAGGGATTCAACTACCTGAAAAATACAAGTGAAACTTCGACGTCCTAGGGCCTAAAAAAATATCTGCAGTTCTGCTTTCATATTTTTTCATGGTTTTGGCAGTTTTTTGCTGGGCTATTTTCAGTAGCGTCCTGACATCAATATTAACTAGAGATGCATATTTCCTATGGACGATTTTAACCAATTTGGTTCAATAGTTGGTGTGACAACAGACACCATTTTGGCACGCTGTATGAGCAGCCCGCAACCACCCGGAGAAATAGGGTTGCACAGTTAATCGTGTTGAAAAAATAATAGGGTCAGCAGAAAAATAGGGTCGGTCGGGAAACCAGAACCATGGGTATTTTTTTAGGGCTATAGTGAATATAAAAGAGATCACGTGACAAAAATAAACCAATCAGACAGATTTGTTCAGAACAACCTTTTTCGGTGTGCATTCAAATGTTTTTTATATTGCAGGTGTATAAAAGGTGTATATATTATACTAGAAAATACATGCATGCAGAAACCCTCGCCTTGCTGACAAAACCATTGCATTTTCCGAATATGAAGTATCTAAAGTAGTTGTCATGGTAACACGATAATTTTTTAAGAATATTCAAATTCTTACAAATGAAAAATCGCCTGAAAATATCACTTTTAATTACAAAATTATTAATTTCCCAACATATATATATTATAGGTATGTTATTATACGTAATATAAGCCTCAATTTAAGGTAAAATTCAACCACAAACGCTTCGCAAAACGTTTTAAAGTCACTAGTCTTCTTTATATTAAAACTAATCTGCCTTTTAAAATGGCTTTATCGATAAACTTTGAGTTTGCAATAAAATGATTTCAAAGTTTCGCTTGCAAATAACTTTGCTTTCTTTTTTATTTAAAAAATTGAATATCATAAAAAAGGGAATCAATATTAAACATACAATGAAATTATATGCTGTCTTGTTAGTTATTTCATACGCAAAGGCCGTCGGGTTTTAAACCATTATAAAATCAATATTTAAAACAAACTTACCTTCGTTAACGTCGGATCCCTTCTTTTAGCCGATTCTTTCGTATGGGGCGCCGAAGCGGACAAAACTGCTATATGCACAAATATCCATGCTCTTCTGTAAACAGCATACAAATGTATGCTAAGTTAAAATAAAAGCACTCAAAATTCCAAAAACACATCCTGAAATCTAAAAATTCATTCGAAGTACACTAAAAATTAAACAGTTCTTATCAGTTCGCCCAATTATATGCCTGCTAATCAATATTCGCAAAAATACATGCCAATTGACAAATATACATGCTAATTAATATTCTATCATGCTAATTAATATTCCATAAATTAACAGAAGTATTCGGGCAAAGAAATTCCCGCGCTTTTCTGCCAAACAAAAGTAAAATAAAAATGGCGGACGATCGAAGGACAAATTTGCTGCAAGACGCATTTGATCAGATTGCTCGTTTAACAGGAGTTAGTCTAAGTGAAAATCGTCCTGTAAATCCCAGTAATAATGCATCGGCATCAAATTCTGTAAGCATGGAACTCAGTAGAAGATTTCCTTCGTTACGAATGCCAGCCGGCCCTACATCTGTGAGTCCTGCCACGTCGTCAGCCACTAGTAACTCAGCCAACAGGGCCACATTCTCTCGCTCAAGTTCAACAAGAAGCCAGGCGAGTCGGAAAAGAAAACGAACAGTAGATAAACCATCAAAAGTTATTTATAAAGATCTGGTATTCATACCAGATCCAGAGGAGGAGCAAGTTCCCACACACACGGCTCGAGTCACGCTTGAAACAGACGGGAAAGTTATTCATGGATTCCCTGTAGACATGGAGTGGGATGCAAGGTCGCTACGGGGGAAAATATGCGATCAGATTCCCGAACTTCTTTTTTCTGAGTTTGAATATGTAAAGGTAACTGGGGCCATTCATTTAATATATTATATATACACCCCCGTGTTGACGACATTCTCTGAGCCTGAGATGTATAGGAAAAATGGGCTATTACATTTAATTCCCGTACCCCCCCTGTCGAGGACCTCATTTTCCAAGGGGGAAATTAGTAATTTTTTCCAGAGGGGTAATTGGGAAAAATGGAAGAAAAATGCTCTTTCCAGAGGGGTTAAAAAGTAAAAATGCACTTCCAGAGGGGATTCAAGTCTCTTCCAGAGGGGTCAATTACACAGATTTTTTTGCATTTCAGAGGGATAAAAATCCCAAAAGCAGAGGTCCTCGACAGGGGGGTTTGGTTTTTTAATGTAATAGCCCAATTGAGGAGTCACTATACTGGGGCATGAACTTTTTGCACCAGTCATTTGAAACCCCCGACCACCCCTCCCCCCCCCCCACGTCAGGGACACCGGGGGAATTTACTCTCTTTGTGTGTGAACCTTTATCCCCCAGTCACCGAGGAAAAAGTAGGGTAAACAAACACCCCTGGCTTTTTTCTCCTGATATTCGATTTAGGTAGCTTTTAAAATCGCTATGTAAAAGCCTTTTTAATGCGACAGTTGTTTAATTAAAAGAAAAAACGTCCCGGAAATCTTGTGTACTTAATTTTAATTAAAACCCTGACAAAACATGACAGTATTAACATGTCAAATTGTATCTGAATCATTTTGTATAATTTTATTTTATATAATTTTTTTTCTTATGGTATATCTTATTGCAAAATTTTACGTAACTCGCTGTTGGCCTCGCATTCCCCAGTGACCAGGGAAGGACAAAACAGTGAAAATGAGGTGAATATCCCTGTTACGTGTGTGTGTGTGTGTGGGGTGGGGGGATCGGGGGTTTCAAATGACTGGTGCATAACTACCTGTTGACAACAATTCCTGGGAGGTCGGTGAAAATTTTAAAGTTTCTGAGGCAAAAACATTTTTCTGATGGGTCATAATATCAGGGGATGTTGTCAACAGGGGGTATACATATGTTTTAAATGGAGTGAAACAAGTCTCATTGGATAATTAGCTATTATCTATCTGTAACCATTCCCCTCTTGGCTTTGTATCTTATTCATTTAGGGGCCGTCAACAAATAGATTTGAACCCCCACCCCCATTGCATACCAGACTTTCTACTATTGCCATCATTCAAAATCTTGATGTGAGCTGTTATAGTGTAAATTGTTGAATTTACTTTAGTGAATTTAAATTTAATTGTACATACTTTTGTCTGAAATGTGATACATATTTGTTGCTGAGCTGTACAGTACAGTACAGTACAGTACAGTACAGTACAGTACAGTACAGTACAGTACAGTACAGTACAGTACAGTACAGTACAGTACAGTACAGTACAGTACAGTACAGTACAGTACAGTGCAGTACAGTACAGTACAGTACAGTACAGTACAGTACAGTACAGTACAGTACAGTACAGTACAGTACAGTACAGTACAGTACAGTACAGTACAGTACAGTACAGTACAGTACAGTACAGTACAGTACAGTACAGTACAGTACAGTACAATACAGTACAGTACAGTACAGTACAGTACAGTACAGCACAGCACAGTACAGTACAGTACAGTACAGTACAGTACAGTACAGTACAGTACAGTACAGTACAGTACAGTACAGTACAGTACAGTACAGTACAGTACAGTATGTTGAATGTACAGTGCATCCCACAAAATAGTCTATTCTTTTGTTTTGTCCCTGTGGTTGTCAGGGAGGGATAATTACATCACAAAATTTAATTACTCATGTATTTGGCTGATTGGAGGAGGTATACGTCTGTGATTCCCAATAAATATAAAAAATATGCTTTCAGGCGTGTTATGGAAAGCTGGTGCCCTTAAATTTGGCTAATGGGGTTGAAGCTACAGCTGAGATAATTCTCAAAGTGGCAGGCCAGGGTGCGATATACCTGAGATGCACAGAACTGGAAGACGATGACAGTATTTTGATGCATTCTGCTTTTGACAACGAATCAAGGTTGGTTTTCAAAAGACAATTGCAATCTTAAAAGTTCTGGTTTGCCAAGTTCTTTACACTGGGTTTTCAGGTATATGGGCCATTCAGTTTTTTTCTGTGATTATTACAGCAATGCCTCAACTGCAGAGGTCATACCTACTATAATTGAACCTGGTCCTACTTCTGGTCCTACTTCTGGTCCTACTTCTGGCCCTGGTCCTACTTCTGGCCCTTGTCCTACTTCTGGCCCTGGTCCTACTTCTGGCCCTGGTCCTACTTCTGGCCCTACTACTGTACCTACTGCTGCATATACCATTATAACTGGTCCTACTTTTGCACCTACTACAGTTGTTGATGATGATGAAGGTAATATTACTAATGAAAATAAACATGAACAAACATTGGTTCTAGCATAGACTGCTTGCACCAGGATTGCAACCATTTTAAATATCTTTATGACGTTCAAAACACTTAGTTGATTAAATCCAGAACTGCTATTTTTTAAGAATAACAATTTAACTTTTACATTGAGAACATGTTCAGAGAAGTAATATTTTTAATTTTGTAGTTGACACAATAGATCTTACTACTATGGACAAGTCTGTGAAAGACATATTGGTCCATAGAACAAATGTCATGAAGGATCTAATCAAAGAGTTCAAAGATAAAGAAATACTTAATTACAATCTTAATTTAAGAGTAATTGCTAGTAATGGTGCACTTGAGAAAGGTGAGGGTAGAGGAGTTACTAGAGAAATCCTAACCCTTTTCTGGCAATCCTTTTTTACCTCTTTGGCAGTAGGCGCAAAAGAAAAAGTACCAAGCATTCGACATGATTTTCAAAAAAATGATTGGGAAGCAGTTGCACGGGTTTTGATATATGGGTACATTAGCACAAAGTATTTTCCACTTCAGTGGCATTTGTAGCTTTATGCATACTAGGGGAAGAAAAGTTGTCTAATGATTTACTACTTGATTCATTTAAGCTCTATGTTTCAGCAGATGAAAAGGAAGTAATTAATGCTTGTATGGATGGGCATTTTGACATAAACAATGAGGATACATTAGACTTTTTAAGTTCTTACAAGTGCTTTCGTGTTGCAAATGCAGAAAATATCAATGAAATTATTTTTCAGCTTGCCCACCAAGAAATTGTGCAGAGACCAAAATATATAGCAGCATGTTGGTCAACAATGCTTAAATGTTTAACTGTATTTGACCCATTTAAGACAATTGAAGATTTAAGAAGCATGTATGAGGAAAAAACTGTAAGCCCTAAGGGACCGTTCATTATTTATACCAGGGGTTGGTACCGAAGAGATTTGGGTTGGGCAATCAAGTTTTTGACTGGCTCATGGGTTGGGTAAAAAGATTTATGGCTGTAAAATAAAATAGAATAAGACCAAAATTACCATGCATTGGAAAATATGAAGAAAAATGTATACAATACATTCTGTACCAAAATAGACCATCAGTGATTGAGGAAGGATTCTATCATTGATTAGCAGGAACGTGATTGCTTTGGCACACTCAGTGAGTTTGAGTGTGAGTGAGCTTTTAGAATATAGGCAACTTGATTTCTGTCACCATAATCTTGTGTGTTTAATTATTATGAAGTATAGTAACACATGGGTTGGGTAAACATTATTTTGACCATTGTTGAGGTTGGGTAAATAAAAAATGTACACTGTTTTTCTCTTGTCTTCGGTACCAACCCCAGGTATAAATAATGAACGGTCCCTAAGAAGGTTCTTAAGTTATTGTCAGCACAACCAGGGAATGATGCTGAAAGGGAAAGTTTTGATCATTTAAAAAGGTTTGTAAAGAGTTTGACAGATGGAGCGCTTTCAGCCTTTTTGCAGTTTACAACTGGGAGTGATATCATAATTTGTGATAGCTTAGAAGTCACTTTGTTAGTGTAGATGGGTTAGCACGTAGGCCCATTGCTCACACATGTACCCCTAGTTTGGAATTGCCATCGACATACCAGTCATTTAATGAATTATCTGAAGAGTTCAGTAGTTTATTAAGAGGGAAGGGCTTTTGGGAATTTGATATAG